TACCAATTAACTGTACTGTCTTAAGTAAGAGAATATAATTACAACTGTGTTGTTAAATTATAATAAACAATATTACTTTTTTAAAAGCTGAAATTCGCTTATTAAAATACATCCTTAAAAACCTATTTAACATTTCAACTTATTAATCGGGATAGAAGATAGTATAAAAGTTGTCAGTAAAGTCACAGTAATAAGAATGTTTCCATTTATATTATCGAAATCAACAGATTTAAATGATAAGAGGATTTTTTAAACTATTAGACGTTTATCACGAGGTACTAGTGAAATTAATCAATGAGATTAGATGTCTCTAGTATTTGAAGGAACAATCGAAATTATGTGGTATCATACGAATTAATAATATTCACTATTGTTTAGAGATGATTAAAATAACTTGATTAGTAGGTAGAAGATATTAATGGGACATGATGTTGTCAATAAATTTTAAGGTTTAATTTTTGTAAATGTATAATTAGTAAATAGTTAAAATTGCTTTGCATTATGAGGATAAAGTACTTCACAGTTTGCTACTGAACTGGCAAACTTTTAATTAAACTGCAACTGAAGCTCGATCTTATGTTATTATCAAATGTCTAAGATATTTTATTAGTGAAAAACAGAATTTTAAAGTCTTTAAGTATTTTACTTTTAGTGTATCATGAGCATGTTATAGATACTGTAGCTTCTTAAGCAATATTCTCAACCCTGTATTCGTGTTTCGCTAGATAAATATTATAAAGAAATATTCCCCGTGCGCCTGTGCGTGTTCTGACGATATAACTGGTAGCACGTGTGGCTAGCGCTCGGTAGATCCGTGGTTCGAATCCCTGACAGTGTTTAGCTGGTTATTCATGTTTTTAGTTTCGAGACCCCTTGGTAAATTCTACAGTGACACTAGAGCTAAAATGACGTGGACAACAATTCGTCGGACATCGGGGTAGCAATCGAAGTTCAGTGGTTAGAACCCTAGCAAGTGCATAGCTCATTCTTAAGTCTTCTCATTTAAATTATCTCTCACCCTAATCGTTGTAGTGGCTAGCGCTGCTTAATAAGTTTAAGAAACTCGCCGTTTTAGAAGCTCGAAGAAAGCCTTATTGTTGATAAATTTACCGTGTCTGTATGACATGAGGTCACTTAAAACACTGTCCATCCGAAAGTCCTCTCGAGGGGTTTGGGGGTAAGGAAATAGGAATGGGAGTTCTCCAAATCCATCCCTATAGAATATTCTCCAAAAAAATTGTATGTAACTTCTGGCCGGTGTAAAATCTGTAACCCCTCGTGGTGCACCTTGAGGAATGTCTTCGGTAATGAGACAGCTAAATGACCCATACACATTGGCCTTTTCTTTGAATGCATTTATTTGAAGATATCCAGCCATTTGAAACATTAGCTCCGAGTGATCTAATAGCTCTACAAGATTATTTTTAGTTTTCACTTACTTCGCGGATTTTGTATATTGACAAATATTCCCACTCGAGGAAAATAGTTTTGCAAGTCTCGTGAAGTGATCCAGTGAAAGGAAAAGGACATAGCCACGTTTTGAATAATTAAATGTTATCAGTATTAAATGAACAGAGAAGTCTCCACGTAGCGTCAATTGACAATGAAAATAAGATCATTGTAGGTTTTTGCCTACCATTTGGCTTTGGAGTTTCTAAATCGAACAGTTTAAGATAATTTGCGATTTGAAGTGCCAATTTGAAAGAAATATTTGATTGAAAAAATTTCAATTTGCTTACGGGGAAAAAGGGGGTTATAGCTATTTTAAATAAAAGATGTTATGTTCATTATTTATAATCAGTAAAAAATAACTGTTGAATTAATCGTCGTAATTGCTTAGCTTAAAGTCGTTTCAAGAATTGGACTGAAATTTGTGTACCATCATTTAATTGCGGTTTCTTTTAAATCTTATTGTTTTTATACTTTTAATTTTTGTTTAGTTTTTTAAATTATAATGCAAAGGGAAATTTGATGTTTTCAGACCCTCCCCCACCTCCAGTTTCTTAAAAGACCTAACAGACGTTTTATAAATTTTTTATGCTAAGAAACATAAAAATTCTGCAATTTCCTTGCCGAGGTTCAAAGTTTAAAACTTTCCTGTACTTGCCGGATTTGCTTCCAAGCACATCACGAAGGCACATGGTGACGAAAGAGAAAATCTCTTATATTCTCCTCTTTTTAAAGGGCAGCTAGGGAAAGGGGTATCCAGTCGCCAAATTAAGGTAATGATGACACATCATCCGCCACATTTTAGATGGATGCCACTGTAGAAGTATTTGGAAAAAATAATGAAGAAAGACGTTTCCTCAAAATAATGAAAAATTAAGCAAACGTGAGTACTAATTAGATGAAGAAATCATATTACGCGAACGCGTAATATGATTCTTGTTCTTCTTATTATTATTACTGCAGGGTTTGATTGATGAGCCGAATATTAAACTGATGAAACCATTCGGATTAACGAAGAAAACAAAAATAATAAATAATCTGAATAAAAATCCCAAAATTCAGAATAAAATATTTCGTTTATTGTGCCAGGAAGCATTAAAATAAAAAAATTAGAGTCGCACAATCGAAGACTTTGTAATTGTAGAATGCAATAGAGAACTACTCTTGCGACAAACATAATCATCTAAGCCAGGGTTTCTTAAACTGTGGGTCGCGACGCCCAAGGAAGTCGCGGGACCTGCAGCAGGGGGTCGCCAAAAATTTTTTAACAGTTTTGATATTTCTTTCACCTTATTATAGTAATTCTACAATTACCAAATATTTTTACACAATGTATCTGAAAATAGATAAAGATAAGACAATACAGATAAAGAGAAAAACGAAAATGTGTCAACGCATTCTTTTTATAATGTAAACGTTCATTTTCCTTGCTTTGCACGCGACGCTGTCAATTCGTCTGTTACTTATTTAAAATTTTCACATTGTTCTATGTCTTAAAATTAGAAATTAAAGTTAAGACCTAAAACTGCAATAGTATCTTACAGTACACGTGAAAAAATTGACAGTGTATGTCGGATTTGCGCAATACTTATGGGATCCCACAAAATTTTTGTAAATATTATGGGGTCCTGGGGGTTCGCGAAAAATTCTCAGGGATAAACGGGTTCGCGACTGAAAAACGTTTAAGAAACTCTGATCTAAGGTAAGAAATGACGCCATTTACATTGATGGCATGTGATAATATTGGTTCAGATTACCATGCGTTTGGAATGACTGAGAGTAATTCGAAACGCATGGTACGCATTCCAATTACCATTCGAAACGCATGGTAATTGGAATTACTGAGGATTCTAGTTATATCGCAGTGTACAGAGGCTTATTCGCACATTTTTCAGACGACTTTGCTTTGCTATAAAAAAACTCGTTTTCTTGGAAAGAATCTTTTTCACTACAACTATGGTTTTGAAAGTGTAAACTATCGTCTGCTACTTAACAATTTTCTTTTCATTCAAAATGCCGCTTTTAAAGAAACACTGGACGAAGGGCTATCTTTGTGCTCTTTCCGAAGAAAATGATTCGCATTTCGTTATTAACAAATGCTGTGAAAGCCATGATTTTTGCTGTATCTAAAGCAACGATAGATAGTATTCTCAATAAGAGAGGGGAAAAAAGTTTGCTTCAAGGAGAAAAATTGTTCAAAATACATATTCAGGGAAAAAAACGGAATGTTTCGAATGTTGCAAAGGTAAGAACTTTAATGTTAAAAGAAAATATTCGAATTCAAAGGACAGTTGTATAATAATTAAAATGCTCACTGTTATCTGTACGCAAAGTGATTAATGTTGATCTGAATTTTAAGGCGAAAAAACGTAATGTGCATCGTCTTTCTCCACGACATATCGCCGAAAGCAGAACGCGGCGCAGAATTATCTTAAACAATTAATCGGACAAAAATGGAAATATGTTCTCACAATAGATGACTCTTGGGTATATTTACATGGCCTCAATAAAATGAAATCCATTTATTATTATGAAAGAGAAGAAAAAAAATCTTAGAACATGGTTCAAAGAATTTAAAGAACGTTTTTCAAAGGGATTTAGAATTGTTGCTTTTTTTTTAATTTTTTTTTTTATGAAACGGTAAATAAAAATTAAAGAGAGTGCGGAAAATGTCTAGATCAATTCCGTATATTATCAGGAACATATTTTGTACACAATCTTTAAATCTGAAATACCTTCTCTTTACCCATAGTGCTATTAATCCGTAGAACTACTTCAAGACAAAGCAAGCAGCCTCAAGTCAAAATCTACTGTTAATTTCCTGTAAAAAATGGTACAAGAAAAGTGTATCAAGGCCGTAACCTTCACTCATATCCCTAGTCCTGATGTATCATCCACAGATTTTTGCGCGTTCGGGACTTATAAAAAGCGGATTGTCCAGGCATCGAATAACAACCTCCTTGGACTTGGAGAGCTGTTCAAAAGGAATGGGATAAAATACCTCTTCCGCTACTAAAAAAAAAAAAAAAAAAAAAAAAAAAAAAAAAAAAAAATTATTGTCTTGGAAGTTAAGGTGTCGAAAGATGGTGAAAAATGAGAGTTATCAAATTTAAATAATTTTCGATCAAAAATTACTAAATTTAATCATTTAAAACACAACACTTTTAGGTAAAATATTTCTGTAAATGCAATAAAAATCGTCTAAAAAATTGCGAACAGCCTCTTTATTACAATTATTATCTTGAAACTTGAACAAAATGTCGTAGTTTGTCATTTGAAATAAAAAGCATCGGAAAAACATTTTAGTGAGAACTGTTGCAGAAGATTCTGTTGTAAATATTAAATGATCAGAAATTTTATACTGATTACTACAATTTGGTGATTATGTTGAACATGTGAAATGATTGACTGATGGCAGAGTATATCTAAATTTCAATTTGTAAATATTACTTCCTGTTACAACATAGATTTTAATGTATGATTAAAATAACCTGCTTTCTTACAGCTGAGTTTTTAAGGTATGACTAAAATGCCCACTTTCTTAATTACAGCTGATTCTCCTGAGCTTCTTGTAAAAGGATACCAGAAGTGGCATCAGAATGGCATCAAACCAAGGACACGATAAAAGAAACTCAGGTAAGAACTCATTCTGCAAAGTTAATTTTGTATTGAAATTCTTAGAAACACACTAGAGTCAATTATATATAAAATGCGATATATCATAATTTTGTAAGGTGCTAATTTTAACCAATCAGTTTTGTTTTATATACTTCCATTCTCTTTTATTCCTAGGTCAGAGTGATGCCATATATCTAGCAGAAAATTAGTTTATTAGTGTCAGTATCAAAATAGTGATAACCTTAGCTTACGTAGCTAAATTTTCGAATATGTTAGTGAAATATTCCGAATATGTTAGTGAAAAGTGATATATTGAATTCTTGTTGTGGAACTTACATCGAGGTCACAAGCTTTTTATTAAGTGATTTGAGCTGAAATTCTTTCAAGTAATAACGAACGTCTGAAATTGTATATTATTCTACAAACTGTATAATTTCATAAACTCTTTAATTTGATCTCCATTATTTTTGAAATCATCAATGTGTGAAATAAACTGCTAACAATGATAAAGTCCCGCTTCTTGCTCTTTGAGAATTACGAAAGATTAGAAGCTGCTCAGATTTTGTAAAATTATTAGCGGGCAAGACCTCCAGATGAGCGGGCTTCTGCCAAAGCAATATTTCGAAATTCTATGTGCTGAAAAGCTGAAAATAAAATGAATTACTAATTTAATGTAATGTCAACAAAGTTCCTACCTGCGACCAAAGCAAAATTTATGAGTTCTATGTACACTTGACAAGAAAGTGCATAAAAACATTTCATTGCGAATGAAATCCGATCATTCTTTCCAAGCAACAACCCATTCGTAAATACGTTTTTGTTGCCAAACCAGGAAACAAAAACTTTGGACACTTCAAGTTAATACGTATACGTATGATGTCATGATTTAAATTTAATGAAACATAACAACTTTTCCTCAATACCAATAAAATAATCAATGTGGCAATAACAAACCGTGCCAATTATCTTAATCTAAAACAAAAAAGTTCCCAACAGCAACTATTTACTTAAAATGCCGATATCAACGAAAACTTTTCTACATACAATGACGAACATAACCTTATATAATAATAATATATTTAATATTTTGTGAAACTTACAATTTTTTTTATTAGCAGACTCTACGATTTTAAAGGGAGCAGTGGTAACACTTTTCGAAATAAAGCATATTTTCGTTTCCAGCGTGGTAGACTGTTGCCACTCGAAAACATGAGTGCAAAACGGTTTTCAGAGTTTTTAATTAATATCTCGGCTGACGAAAGTCGTACGAATATGAGAATGGTCGAAATGGCTTCCCCCGAATTTTTGGGATCCGGGGCGGATACCTTTCTCGAAACTTAACTAACCGCCATTCCGGAGATGATGCCACAAACAAACAGACAGAATCGCATAGATTTTAATAGGATAGAAGACTGCATAAATAGAAGCCGTAACGCAGTTGAAGCTTCTAGAATATGATTGTCTGTAAAACTGCAAATAACCTTCTCCAAACTTATATCAAAATTAAACGTCCGGAGTTATAAATTTATAATAGATGAAATCAAAGTTTGCAGACGCCTGAAACAATCAATAAGAATCCAGAAAACGTACCAGAGCGAATCTCTCATATATTACATAATAGGTTTAAATCTTCGGATAATAATGCTTATAATATTGCCTAATTTTGGAAAATAAAATAATGGCAGTGTAAGAAGCTAGGAAAAAGACCTTAAACATAAAAAGCAAAAGAGAAGTTAGTAAACAACAACGTTGTGGCAACATCTTCCTCGGAATTCTTTTCTTCCTACACAAAGCTAATATTATGCAATTTGGAACTTAATCAGATTTCGTAAGTTATGTAAACATCTTTGACAACCCATATATCAAATGATATGCTATACTATTAATTTAATTGTCAAACAACTCTAGGAACAATAGGTTCATTGTTGTATTCTTAAATATTCAAGAACATTGAGAAGGTCACAGAGATTTGGAAAATCCGTCTTTTGAAAAAAGACTTTTGAAATACTTCTACACGACTCATAAATGATCTGGTGATTTTGATGGATTCCTTTCATCCTGGGATACAAAAGGGCACTGTTTATTAATTGAAATAGATTATTTGAATATAGTAAAGCACACTAGGACTATCTGTTTAAAGGGTGTCTTTGTGTATGACTTGATAACGGGAAACTGACTAGTAATCACGATACACAAGGCAAAAGTACCAAACTTCCCCATACTACTATCCCCTCCGCCAATAAATTAAATTTAGTATCAATTAGATACTTTCTTAAAAAGTAAAACTAAGACTTAATGTGGTACGAAATGCGTTCATTACATTTGAATCGCTAGGTTTATTAAGAAATTAAAAAATGTTAAGTTTGAAAATTATATTAATGTTATGTTCTCAGAGTGCTGCCATTCAGTTTAGGTTTCACGAAGTGGTAGCACTTTAAAAACAGGCTGCGGAGAGTTAGTAAAAGATAAATTAAAGACACGACATCCCGCGTCCTGGCAGCAGTTCTCACGATAACATTGTAGAGTCCTTACATTTTTTGAAGCAGGAGATGTGAAAATGTGCAATGCCTTCGCCGGGACACGAATTTAGATCCCTCGAATATGTGCTGAGTGTGCTACCGTTACACCACGAAGGCATGCGGGAAGGAGGGTGAAAATCCATTTTTGGTACTTATATACTCCACCTTTTTTAAGAGAAACTGTGGATTAGGGGTCCCAATCGCCAGCTCCTGGTGGTGACAAATTATCGACCACCATATTTTTAGTTCGGGTGCCACTGTAGAGTCATTAGGTGATTTGAAGCAGGAGACGTGAAAAATGGGCAATGCAATCGCCGGGACTTGAACCTGGATCTCTCGAATACGCGCCGAGCTTGCTACAGTTACACCACGAAGGCGTGCGGAAAAGATGAGAAGAATACTTTAACGTAACGTAACGTAAGGAAAGGATTAAACATTTTTGGAAAAATTTTACTCAAGTCGTTTCTAACGTCACTGAGCAAAAAGAATGCTATTTTATAAAGCTCATGCTAGCGTTATTCTAAATAGCCCTCTTATGTAGAGATGCCAGTAATACAAAATTTTGTATAGTAGTACTATCACCGCCATATACATTTCATCTCCTGCTGAATAAATTAACAAGGAAAGCAAACACAATTTCCCTTTACTTGCACATAAAAAGTTTGACATTTTAATGTAGATTGTTTAGTTCAAATTAAAAACTTGTCAGGACTTGTGTTTCTTTTGATTTGCTTTGGAAACATGAAATGCCCTGAATAAGAACAGGGAGCTTACTCAAGCTATGCCCAAGATTTGTGTATAACAGACGACACAAGCAGGAAGGGTATACGAAACCCTTTATTTTCAATACTTTACAGACACTTCCGAACTTCGGAATGCAGAGACCAACCACTTGTTGTCTGAACGTAAGAATATAAAACTACTAACTAAAACTCTAACTAAAAGCTAACTTTGAATTAGTATACAAATGCCTAGCACTAAGACTGGCCTTTATTTAAAAAGGGTACGTATGTAGTACGCCGAGCTGCTGAAACTACACTACGTTTGCAAATATCAAGAGGGCTAAACCTCTGGCCTTAAAGGCAACCAGCAACCGAGTGAAAACTCGTAAAACTGCAGTGGCAAGCGGCTTGCTTCCTAAAACTCCTTCTCTCTCCCGCTTGGCAAAAAAGCCACAACTTAAGTACTTGGGCGTTAGCAAGACAATTTGCACAAACAAGTTAAAGCATTTAATTCTAAGTAGTAAAGAAGTAGAAAATAAGAAGTGATAGTACAGTTTTAAAATAAAACAAACGTTAGTAAAACTTAGGATCCTTACAAACTGACTTATGTAAAAGTAGCACATAAGTCAGGCCACCGATATCATGGTTTTCCTCCGCGGTACAAGATGATTTATTATTTTAGGGGGCTCAATGACCCCCATTATTATTTTTAGCAAATGGAAGATACTTGGTTAAGATAAACTCAGCTGAATTTTGTCCCGAAAACCTAACGTCTGCATACTTAAAAGTGCTATGTCCAGTATGATATGCAATATTAAATCTTTTTTAATGCTTAATCCATTCAGATAATTACGATCTAAAAATATCCGTTTCACTGCATATCACGACATACCAGCACTATTTGATATTCCGAGAATATTCATAATTCTGATAAACTCTGACATATGAGTTCAGTTTCATGGAAAACATTCTTTAAAATTGTAACTTTCTAATAAATTATTCACAGGAAGGGCGAAAGTATTTGTTTTGTTTTCGTCATTAAAATTAATTGATGCTTTTATATAGAGATAAATTTTTCTCACAAACGCTATAGAATTAATTTAAAGGATATAGAGGCTGATCTCGCATTTTTAGACGATTTTACATGCAAAATGGCGGTTTTAAAGAAGCAAATGTTGGAAGGCTATGTATGTGTTTCTTTCCGAAGAAAATTATTGTTATCTGATTATAATAAAACACCGTGAAAGCCATCGTTTTTCGATATCTAAAGTACCGTAGGTAGGTAATATTGTCAACGAGAAAGGGAAAAAACGTCAAAATTTGGCTTCAAGTGGAAACGTTGTTCCAATATATATCCAAGGAAAAAACGGAATGTTTCGAATTTGGCAAAGGTAAGATCTTTAATGTTAAAAGAAATTCCGCCAACTCAAAGAACAGTAGCAAAACCATTAAAATGCTCACTGTCAATTGTAAACAAAATGATTAATGCTAACTTGAATCTTAAAAGGCGAAAAAACATAATGCATGTCGTCTTTCTGTAAGATATACCGCCGAACGCAGAACGCCCTGCTGAATTCTTTATGAGAAACATTTATCCAGACAAAAAACGGAAAATTGCTGTCGCACTAGATGAGTATTAGGTGTATTTAAATGACTGCAATAAAAAGAGATTCATTATTTTCATCAAAGCGGAGAAGAAAATTTTAAAAGATGGTTTAAAAAATCTAAAGGAAGAGTTTCAAATGGATTTAGGACTGTTTCTGGTTTTTCTTAGTAAGGCAAATTAAAAATAAAGAGAGTAGAAAAAAATGTTAAGATCAGTTCCGCATATTATCAGGAACATATTTGATATCCAATTTTCAAATATGATATACTTCTGTTTAGCCACAATGCCATTAATCAGTAAAACTGCATCAAGACAAAGCAAGCAATCCCACGTCAAAATCCACTGTTAATTTCCTGGAAAAAAACGGAACAACAAACGTGTACCAAGCCCTACCCTTAATTAATATCCCTACTATATTTTTGAGATATTCTGATGTATCACCTACTGCGCTTCTGGACTCTTAAAAAGCGGATTGTCCAAACTTCGGCCAACAAACCGTCTTAGACTTTGGAAAGCTGTTCAAGAAAAATGGGATAACATATCTCTTCCAATACTTCAAAAGGCTTTATTGTGCTTGAAATAACAATCTAGAAAGATAAAGAAGAATAAGGGTTATCAAGCAGAACATTTAAACACAAAAAGGTTAGGTAAATACAAGGAAGTTCATCTAAAAAATGGGCGAACAGTCATTGTATACGCAGGTCTGCTTCTGCAGTTCTTGTCATCTTACGAACTCCATATTCTAACAATAATTTCATTAAACAGGCAACAGTTTAAGAAATTTATGAACTTTTAATTTTGTTTTTATATTTGAATATTGTTTCACACAGGAACTGGAGATGGTAATCGTCTTCCCAACGCTGAAACGGGCGTTTCTCTGTTTTCAAATTTAGTTTTGGAAGCTGAAAAAGGAGCTTCCAATATCCGCGAAAATTGTTTAGATGACAGAATTGCAGTTCCTGAAGCCGAAAATGTAAGTTCTAAAATCTTTTTACGTATTTGCAATAACTGATAAACTTCAAATTTTTTTCTTGTTTAATTTTAAATTAAAAAGGCTTAATGTTAATATTCGACCCTCAAAAACGGCATGGCTTTAATAATAAATATTATTTTCCTGAAGCATCGCACCCACTTGCAAAAATTAACATATAAAAGCAATGAACATTTAAATCATAAAGACCGTTACGCTATCTACCTTTTTATTTTCAATAAATAATACGAACTATAAATTGGTACTGAAGCAGTGGATGCTGCCGCAAGATGGCTGACTGAAGATACATTGAACACACACCACAACCTCCAGATTCGCTTCTGCACATGATTTCCTGATACAATTTTCGGATTCGCAAGACATAGTGAATTAAAGTAGATATCTGATAGAAAATCAAGAACATGCTATACTTCTATGTTATATTAATGAATTCATAGAATATGTTGTAATATTGTGTTGAATGTACACTGCGAAAGAAAGGGGGAACAGTTTTATATCTTCCGTTCTACTGGGTTGACGAAATTTCCATGCGAAATTCAGGGGGGGGGTATAGTTATATATCCTCAGTTCTACTGGGCCAATTGACGAAATTCAACCTGCGTTTTTTATGTCTCGAAAGCGCGACTTAGGATATATATATGTATTATATATATAGCATTGTTCTAATTTAGGTATTTTGGCACAAAATCCGACTTTTTCTGAAATGAAATGCCAATTCTTTTTTTTTTTTTTTTTTTTTTTTTTTTTTTCATATTTCGATTCTACGACTCCAAATTATGTCAAACTGCCAAGTTTTGTAAAAAATCACAAGAGTAGTTTTGAAAAAATTAGCTCTCAAAATTTTAGCTCCTCAGTGTTAATTCAATTGGGTATGTATATTTATTAATATCTCCTTCTTTCTTTCACAGTTCGAAATTAAGGTTCATTCCAAAGAAAATCCGCCCATTTTTTATGATTTATTTTTAAAATTTGTATTTTAAAAAAATTTTTATAAATTTTTCGAAAATGATTTTGAAATATAACCTATAAAATGTTTACCATCATCTTAAAGTATATGTATTTCTAGCGCACTTACAAAAATTAGAGCTTTTTACTCAAAATTTCTGAAGATAGACGTGAATTTATATGTTGGCACGTTTTGAAATTTGGTATATTTGTTGAAAGCGATAATGATGTCTAATGTGATTTACGCACCGTGTTAAAATTATTTGAAGGTAATAACCATGTGACTTTTTTTCCTCTCATGCACAATGTAAAAAGAAAAGGAAAATAGGCTGCCATACGTTAAGAAGTTCGTCAAGTGAATTATTCTTGGCGCAAACTGTAAAAAATTACCCCAAGATAATTTTTTGAATTTCTCCTTAAATTTCGCACGAAATTTTACAAAGTTTAATATTTAGGCAAAATTTGAGTCGTACAATGGAAATATGAAAAAATATTGCCATGTTATCTCATAAAAAGTCGGATTTCATCAATCGGCTCAGTAGAACGGAAGATATAGTGCTGTCTCATTTTTGTTTTTTGCGCAGTGTACACTGCGAGACATAAAATTGCTATCCCAGGAAGAAAAACAAATAATAAATCTTTAGTAAATATATAATACAATAGGAAGATGATATGAATAAATTGGCAAGTTTTGAAATCTACGTTTTGAAATACACAAAGTGCAGAATTCAGCACACAGAGCTGTCACCTCTGCAACAGCTGTAATCAGGCTCAGTAACGAGTAGAACTGAGCTTCGATGACAAATACGGGTACTTCATTCCATGCGGCTTCAGCTCTGTTATTCATTAATCGTAGTTGCTGGCGAGTGGGGACTTATCAGTCACTTGGCGATCAATGGGTGAAAAATCTGAAGAACATGCTGGCCAAAGCAACTGTCAAACACCTTCTATATCGAGGATCTTTAGGACTGCACGGGCAACATATGAGCATGAAAGCTAGGGCAGCGCCACAGGTCCTAATACAATTGACGTGAGACGGAGACACCATCATTCTAACGAGAGCTTAGGTGGTATTGTCTTGCGCCTCCATATCTAGCATTAGATGATACGTGAAATAACACTGTAAGCTATTGTAGCCGTTGTGTGTCAGTACATTCGATAATTTATATATTTATTACACTATTTAAGCTAGTCAAATTACTTTAAGCAGAACAAACAACAGTGCACATTACAAATGCACTTTACAAAGATAAGACTTTACAGACATTACAGAAATTTACAAACACGTATTGAGTGACATCTAAATACAGGAATAGTGTAGAGAGTAAAACTTCTGGAAACAATGTAAGTGAATATTAAATTCTTTCTCTAGGCTCTTTCCTGTCTCCCCCAAAGGGTTAAATAAATGTTTTTTTTTAATTATATAAAGAGGCATAGGTCAGCTCCGAGTTTTGCAAGCTTGTCGATAATCTGGGCGATCCTTGCCACCAGATGGTATTGCTTTACAATAAGCTTACAGAAGACTTGCATATTAAAGACTTGCATATAAGGTGGTGTTACTCTGGTAAGTAGGTAGATGATACAATAATCGTCTGGCGTACCAATTTCTCCAAAGATAGATTGGTATTTCTGCGACGTGTCCATTAAAATATACGGAAAAAGGACAATGTCCTGTATTAAATCTTGTTAATTGGAGGAAAGTGATGTTGCGTTTGTCGTCTTGTGTGATGCAGTGTTATGTGTGGCGGCTTTGTTCGTATTTACCCAACTCTGTTTGCCATTTGATTTTTGCTTTGCATTTCAGTTGCTTCTTCAAGTATACGTGTGGCCGAAATGCTGGTGGGGAATAATGAATACTTTCTGATGCTGCTTCCTTCGCTAATCTGTTAGCAGTTTTGTTTTCACTCACTTCAGTAGGCGCTTTCACCCAGGAGATCGTAAGGTTATAATGTTATGCCATCTTAAGTCTTTATGGGTTTGCGAATCTGTAGGAGATGTATGGGGTGATAGTTAAGTGTTGACAGAAGTACTGACATTCTGTATGTATGGATGGAGATATCCTGTATGTTTCGTTGAGGGACGTACTGGGTAAAATGTACTGGTAGCTACTGCTGCCTGAAACACGATATTATTATCTCTTAGTCTCTACTTCCATAGATGTAAAGTTCCTACTCCATGCTAAAGAACTAGTGCGCTGTCAGGTTCATTTTCCAAACGTGAGCCATTCGTGTATACAGCTGGAGTGTTATTGTTGGGGATGTTATGACGATGCTGTTGTATGTTTACACCTTGCCCTTTAATTGCTGGATGAACATGTAGCGTCGTAGCTGGCATTTCATAATTGTAGGGATAATGCTACTCATCGAACAAGCTTGTGGTAGGGCAAAGATGAAATACTGATTGAATTACTGCTTCTTGCTCGACAAGAATATGTAGTAGTGTTAGATCTGTGATGAGTTGCTGTTGGGCGAAAAGTCCTTGTGTTGTTTAGGACAAATGAACGCTGGACATTGAGAGGATGTTTTACTTTCCTCCTTTGCATCTGCCAGGCTCAGACTGCAGTAGCCTATGTAACAATTTTTTCTACGACGGTTGAGTAGAGAGGTTTTTGAATGTTCTAATTTAGTCCCCAATTGTTTCCTTGGAATTGAGTAAAAAAGCAATTTAATGCGGGTATATTTGTATAGAACACAATGGAGATCGAAGCTATACACATTTCGCAACAGAACAACGCATGTTCTGCATTCATACAGCGTGCGTGTATGCGGCATGCTACACGTGCGTGTAGGCGGCGCCAGAAGAAAAAGAGGCTTTATAGGCGCGTGGAGGGTAAGACGAATTGCATTCGTTAGGACACCTCGGCGAATTTCTTGGTGTTATCTTGCAGTAATCAGTTAAATTCGCATCGGAACAGTAAAAGTGAGTAACGACCAATGTTTAAATGATGGAATGAGGTGTCGAATTGTGGGGAGGCTAGAGGCAGGCCAATCGCAAGTCCAGATATGCAGAGAGTTTCTTTTAACGCCAGGCGTCGTGTGTAATCTATGGAAACAGTTGCAGGATACTGGATCCATCGAGAGAAAGCTTGGGCAAGGTCATCCAAGAGCCACGACGGCCAGAAGAGATCGCTATTTGTCCATTTTAGCGCAGCGTAACAGAGGAGCTATAGCTTCTCAGCTCTCTCGGGACCTGTATGCAGCCACAGGAACACTAACAAGGGTGACTGTTTCCAAAAGACTGAATGAGAAATGAGAGAGGGATGTTTGCCAGAAGACCGGCTGTTTGCGTCTCGTTCACGTCTACGGGCAGGATAGTCCGATTAGCATGGTGCAGGCAGCATAGTGATTGAAGTACAAAGCAATAGGCGACTGTTCTGTTCACCGATGAGTCCCGTTTTAGCCTAAACCCCGATTCTCGCCGTACTTTCATATGGAGAGAGCCAGGAACCCGCTACCTACCCTCCAATGTCCACGAATTTCAATAATTATGGCGGTGGCAGTGAATGGTCTCGGCAGGCATCATGTTGGATGGCCGCACACCTCTCCTCGTCTTTGACAGAGGCTCTGTGGCTGGTGTGAGGCATAGAGATGAGGTCTTGGAGCCCTATATTCGCCTTTTCCGGGGTGCAGTGGGCTCTGAGCTCATCTTACAGGATGATGACGCGAGGTAGCATAGAGCTCTTCTGGTCGATGAATTTTTCGAGAGTGAGGATATTCGCCCTATGGATTGGCCAGCCAGGTCTCCAGACCTCAACCCTATAGAGCATGTCTGGGACACTCTGGGGAGGGCAATTGCAACTCACAACCCGCCTCTGAGAACCATCCAGGAACTGAAAACAGCGTTGCTGAATGAGTGGGACCATTTGTCACAGGTACTGATAAACTACTTTATTTTGAGTATGACATCACGCTGCAAGGCCTGTATGGGTGTAAAAGGCGACCATATCCCCTATTAACCCATTTCTTTTGTGTCTTCTGCAACAGCCGTTTTAGATCTTCAGACTCCCATGAGTGTTACACACGAACATGTGTGTCTATTATAACTGCTGAATATTTATTTTGTTTGTATTATATCAACCTATGCTCACACCAAATTTTATTAAAATCTGTCCAGTAGTTCTGGAGATCGTAGATCAGATATTAAATTCTCTTAATTTATTTCACCAGTGTAGAAATATAGTTTTTAGCTTTTTTATGTTCACTGAACGAGGAATCTTTCCTTGCAGAATTTAAGCGGTATTGAGGCTTTAAGCTGTATATTCTTCGCTACCTAAGATAATAGATATTAGAAACTTAAAAGTGATATATCGTTGCACGAAGTAAAAATAAATTTTAAAGTAGGAATAATTTTAAATTAACTACTATTTTGTTTTTTAAAAAAAAAGCATTAGAAAGTCAATGAAAGCAATGGATTTTATTTAACTTTATGGGTTTTTTGCAAAAAGGAATGTACAAAAGAATTTAAAATTAATAATAAACATTATAATAAAGATCTTGAATTCTACTATTTTAAATTCATTAAAACATTAGCAACCTCCCCCAAAAAATATTTGGAATAATGAGTGATGTTTTCTTAAATTTATCACGCAGTGCAAATTCAGTTTCAAGGAAATACGGGTAAACGTAATAACAAATATCTTGAATTCAACTTTTTGGAAATTTATTAGAGCAACTAAAAAAATATTTTGAATTTATGAGCAATACTTTCTTATATTTATCTTGCAGTACAAATTTGGTTTCAAGAAAATATGGATAAAAGATATAATAAATATCTTGAATTCTACTATTTTTTAAATTCATTAAAATATTAACTACCCCCAAAAAATACTTTAAATTGATGAGTAATATTTTCTTACATTTATTTTATAGTACAACTTCAGTTTCAAGAAATTATGGATGTTCAGTGGTCCTGGATTTCTCATGAGTATCGCCTATTTGGATCCAGGCAATATCGAAGCTGATCTCAAGGGAGGTACATTGGCCAAATACGCTCTATTATGGATTTTCATGTGGGCAACTATTGTTGGGCTTTTCATTCAGCGTTTGGCGGCAAGGCTGGGAGCCGTTACTGGACAGGACATGGCCGAAACATGTAGGAGAAGGTTTGCACCCCTTCCTCGTTATATCTTATGGATTATGCTAGAGATTACAATCATCGGAGCTGACATGCAAGAAGTCATCGGAACAGCTATAGCTTTCTACCTACTCTCTGACAGACGGTAAGTAATTCCTGAGAAAAGAATGATCTTCGCTGTAATATCAATAATTATAAACGTATTGTAGAGACATTAGGTTATTTTGAAGCAAGAAACACGAAAAGTGAGCAATGACCTCGCCGTAACTCGAATGCGCACTGAGTGTGGTAATCGTTATACCACGAAGACATGCCGGAATGAGGAAGAAAATACCTTATATACTTCCCCATTTAAAGGGAGACTGAGGATTAGGGGACCCAATCGCCAAATCCTGGTGGTGAAGAATTGTCATCCATCACCTTTTAGTTCGGGTTCCACTGTAGAAAAATTAGGTTATTTATTTTCGATGTCAGGAAGCTGAAAAAATATGCTGCGCCTTCACCGGGACTCGAACCTGCACCTCTCGAATACGGGCCAAGTGTGCTACCGTTACACCACGCAGGCATGTAGAAAGGTGGGAAAAAGTACACTGCGAAAAAAAAAGAGGCAGTTCTAATATCTCCCGTTCTACTGGGCCGATTGACGAAATTCAACTTGCGTTTTTCATGTCTCTAAAGCGCGACTTAGGATATGTATTAGATTTATATATATCATCGTTCTAATATAGGTATTTTGACACAAAATCGGACTTTTTCTGAAATAGCATGCCAATTTTTGGTACTTACGTATTAACGCAACCAGGCAAAAATTCGCATAAATCGCCAAATTTGGCGACCCTACTTACGGCAACCTTACGTTAATTTATTAAAGCGAGGTGTGCGTAGTTCGTAGATTCGTTCGTTGCCTACATTGTGCCATTCGTAGATGTTTTTTTTAAGTTAAAACATGTCGCTGTGTACATGGATTCTTGTCTATATTTCAAACTTTAAGCCTAAAATGTCTCCAAAAACGCGGTTTTCGCACATGCAAAAACTACGTTTTGAACACACGATTTAAGCTAAAAATCCGAAACAAAAACAAAAAATTTAGATAGCAAAAACGTAAAGTTTCTAACCAAAAATATTTGACAAGAATCCATGTACACAGCGACATGTTTTAACTAAAAAACATCTACGAATGGCACAATGTAGGCAACGAAAGAATCTACGAACTACGCACACGTCGCTTTAATAAATTAACATAAGGTTGCCGTAAGTAGGGTAAACAAAATAATATAAAAAACTGTATTAAAAATTATCTGTAATTAATAAATGTACATTTTCTTTCTATTCATACTTTTTTACTCAAACTTACAAATAGCGCCAACCTGGTTGCGATAATACGTAAGTACCCAATTTTTTTCCATATTTCAATTCTACGACTCAAATTACTAAGTTTTGTAAAACTACTAAAACTACTAAGTTTTGTAAAAATCACACGAGTAGTTTTTAAAATTTAAAATTTAGCTCTCAAAATTTTAGCTTCTCAATGTTAATTAAGTTTGGTATATTTTTATTAATCTCTCTGTTTTTATTAAACTAATTTAATTCTTCCTTTCACATTTCGAAATTTAGGTTCATTCCAAATAAAATTCATCCATTTTTATGATTTATTTTTAAAATTTGTATTTTTAAATAATTTTCATAAATTTTTCAAAAAAATTTTTGAATTATAATCTATAAAAAGTTTACCACCATCTTAAAGCAGACGTATTTGTAAGCATACATGCAAAACATTTCAGTTTTTTATTCAAAATTTCCGAAGATATACAGGAATTTATATATTGGCCCGCTTTGACCTATGCAGTACCGCTATCTGTTTTGTCTTCATTTGGTGAATTTATCTTTTATTTAGCAACAATTTACCTTCGGTTTAAAAACTGCATTCTATGTGAAATTTGAAATGTTTCTTCTAATAAAATAAATTTTATTAACCTGTCATCGGACTTGTGTGCATTCAGTCTATTACGAACCCGTACCGCACGCAACAATATTTTTTGCAGTGTTTAGATTTCAGGCAGTAATAAATCAAGAATATTTGATGAAGGCTGATTTATTTCTGTACCGTTTTGGTTATAGAAAAGGTGATTTTTCAGCAAATATTTTTCCTTTCACATTTCTGCCTGTAAAAATTTAAGTTACGTATATTGTTTTTATACTATGGTATGGTCAAAATTACTGTAATTCAGTTCTTAAACTGGAATCCTTTCCCTGTTTATTTAATTCCTTCTTTTTAATTGGAAAGATGGATTAACGGCTATACATTCAAGAGATATATATAGCAAAATAACGTGTGTACTAACTTAAAGTATTTTAACACTAGAATTATCAGGTTTTCTTTATGCCTAGAATTGCTAATTACCATGCTTAGACTTAATCATGCCTAGATTTGGCTCACTGGCTTCGGTAGCCTTATTTTCACGTGTGTAGGATACAAACCTGTAATCAAAGTTATTCTGAAGAAGGAAATTGATTTTATGGAATATCGTGCGTTACGAAGTAAAGGGTATTTGATATCATTTTCTATTGATAATTAATCAAATTTTAGATTATTTGCTAAAGCTCAAGCAAAATTAAACGTGTATTACGTTCAAATTTGCTATAAAAAATATGCATTAAGGAATTATCATTTTAAATTTAGTTATGACATATAAATCAGAAATAGCTTAGTTATAGAATATTTAAACACAGAGGCGAGGCTGTTCGCACATTTTTAGGCGATCTTCATTCTATTTTTAGAAATATTTCGGGATACAGAGACCAGCACTTATGGTCTAAAACGTAGAAAATAAGAAATAAACTAACATAACTATATAAGAATTAAACTTAGATGCTTTACAGAGACTTATAATGCAAAGATTGGCCATTTGGCACTACGTATGTACTGAGCGAAATGCAAAAACTACTATACGTCTTCAAATATCAGCGGGAACTAAGTTTTGACCTCAAGGCAGACAGAAACTGACTGAAAAACACGCGCGTGGTAAGGCAGCAAGAAGTCTCTCTCTTCTCTTGGCTAAAAGACACATCTTAAATACCTATGCAGTTTGTAACCTCATTAGCATAAACAATTTTACTCGCACTTTTTTCTGGCCGGAAACAGAAAATAAGAAAGGATAGCAAAGTTTTAAAATAAAATAAACGTTCATAAAACTTAAAATTCTTACAAGCATTTATAGCTCCAAAATGTAAATTACTGAAAGAAAGAAAAAATTTGCATTGAACAATGCTGTGATATAAAATTCCTGCAGTATTTTCATATCCATTTAGTCCATAGCGTAAATGGAAAAGCTAAATTTAGTGAAACTATAAAAATGTACTACTTCAGGTATATCCTTACTAATATGATAAATTTATACTGAAGAATTCAATGTGCTAATGAGAAATATTTTCTTTTCTTCTACTGACATTGACACAATGGAAGAGCAGCTAAGATAATTAATATTTTTATCATTTTATATTTATTTGGATGGCGTTTCTGTGCTTTTTAAAAATTTATAAAATTCCTAATATCTCCTGGTGAATTCTGATCACAAGATTCATTTTCTAAAAGTTTATTTAGAAGTTTCGCAACCTTCTCATGTGAGAAACGATTTCTTTACATTTGTCAAAATGAAATGACATTTATCAATCCTACTTCACAGTTTTCTATTAACTATTGACACAAATGCACTTTATAGCGTTCCGTTTCTATCTATAACATTCTAGAACTTTCGAAATAAAAGCTCGATTAATAGTGTTGTAGCCAAATGCCCAGCTGCCGCGATATAGCTTCACCGCAAAGCGGGGTTAGGATTGCCAGAAAGTATCAAAAAAAGGTAGGACTGCCAAATTTGGGGCGAAGTCGCTTTTTGGAGATATTTGGCGACAAGATTGGCGATGTGCCATAGACAGAACGAGAACATTCTAGAACGCATTCTTAGCAGTTTTCCTTGGGAATTTTCTCACAGACAGGTTAAAGGCTATATATACCCTGCCTGTACGGAGCGAAAGAAGTAGTGTCTTGAGTTCAGAGATTAGCTTGAGAAGGTCGACCGAGTCGGAAGCTGTACTTTAGTGCTTTTCTGTGAAGCTGTCCTCATCGTTATAGCCTGAAGGCTGTGTTGTTGATTGTTTCAGTGTGTTTGTCGTAGTTTTTCGAGGAGTGTAAACTTGTCTTTGGAACTGTGTTGTGTAATAATGCTTACTGGCGAATAAATTGTGTTTTGATTCTTCATCAAATGTTTTCATCAATTACTCTAAATCCAAGAACCCGCAGAACCACGAATTCGAACAATAATATCATAATAAATAATTAATTTAATGTACAATGGCTTGATGCTGCAGAATAAAATTTGAAATGCATATCTTTCAAATCCTTTTGAAACCATCTTCTTTTCTCTTCTTGCAAAATACCCGCAATAACGTACATTTCGTAACATTATGCCCGAAATTCTCAACAATGAGGGGTTGAGAGCAACATGAAAAATAAGATAATGGTCCTTTTTAGCTTAAGGTAAGAGAGGACCCGCACAGTTAATTCTAGGTATAACATTTCTTGGAAAATAAAGTTATAATTCAATTTTACTAAAAGGATTTTAAGTTTTAATTACCGTTTGAGTAATGATTCTGAATGCGCACGAAAGTCAAAAATTACAGAATTTTATTTTGAAAAGTCAAGAAAATACAAGAATTGAAACTTATTTTGGGCCATGAATGTCACACCTTCGTATTTCTGGTGTTAAACAAATAAAATATACTTGTGTGCAGATAGTTTATTGTCATCTGTAAAATATGTCTTAATAGATTTATTGGATCTCTTTTTTTCATTCATTTTTTTATCTAGGATTCCTTTATATGGTGGAGCCCTATTAACTATATTCGACACATTCACATTTTTATTCTTGGATAAATACGGACTTCGAAAACTGGAAGCATTCTTTGCTTTTCTGATTGCTGTTATGGCAATTACTTTCGGTTATGAGGTAAGTTTTCGAAATCTCATAATCAAACGTGTATTTAGTGTGCAAACTTATGACGTATTTTATGCTCTTCTAGTCTCCAATCAACTTGACAGATAGAGATATCCGATAATTTCTTGAAAGAAAGTTTATCCAAGTACCTCATATGTTATCATCGTGCTAACATTTGGAGCGCAAATAGTTTGAGCCAGCAGAATCAGTCGAATATCCGAACGCGCATGTCTGACAGATCGAAAGCATAATCCTAAGACACTGGTGTCTTAGAAGTAGTAACCTGTTTACAAAACAGATTAATTAATAAAATCAAAAGTACAGAGAAAACGGTAGTCTGAAAACAGTGTAACCTAGAAGCATCTCAAATGTTATAATTGTATTCGGTATAAATTTTTATGCCACCAACGCATCAGAAGAAGACTTCAAATGATTTACGGATACCACATTATGAGCATCATTGCACAGATGTCTAACAAATCCCTCCATTTCTCAAGCTGACACTACAATCACTATTGGAAGTGATTCCGAAGACTCTGCCCAGTATATGCCTTTGCTGTTATGTCCCTGAACACGGAGGCAATGAGAGAAATGTATGTGTTAACAATGCAACAAATACTGAAGATTTTGAGAAAACGTTTTGTTCATCAGATACGATAGTTATAATAATTTTATTGTCTTTAACTTCATAAACTTGTAATATCCTACCTAAACTAGAGTTCGTTGGAAGCAAGAATACTGAAGTACTGTATAGCGACTATTCGCTGAATTCTTGTATGGCAAGTAACAACTCCGGAGAAGGATTAAATTATCCTTTATTCCAACTCAAAATCAATTAATCGATGGCTCCTCTAGGGCGTATAATAAGCCTCCACTTAGGCTTTCATAAAAAACTAAACTAATGCTAAATAAAACTAATAAGCCGAAGCTGCACAGAATCATTTCGCGGAGTTGGCCCTTATTTAAATATGCCCGGCGTATACTAGCAGGCACGCATAAATACGGCCGTAGAATAGTAAGCTTGAACTAATAAGGTGTCCTAAAGGCAGAACACGCTCTCTTACTGAAGTGACCCAGACTGCAGCTTAAATACCCATTTCTACCTCATTTGCATAAATCGTAACCCTGAAAACTCATTATGGCGGGGAAGCGTATATGGGAAATTAGAATGTATAAGGAGAGGTTTGTTCCAAAATAAAAATAACTATTAGAAATTTAAAGTAAAACACTGCAAAGATATATATATATGTCTTTTATAACGGAAAACCATCTATAACCATGATTACGCCAAAGAGATGCATTACAGAACTAGTATACATCTAATGATCTACTGACGTATAATAAAGAACCACTTAGCATTAGTGTTAGCATTGCACTATCACTGAGCATTAGTGCCCTATGAGTTTAGTATTAGTGCATTCTTACTAGTATCAGCTTAGTACATTATCACTAATGTTAGCATTAGTGCATTATCACTGAGCATTAGTGCTCTATGTGTTTACTAATTTGAATTAGAAATAGTCTAGATACAGATCAGTAAACATATAGTGCTGAACTACTTTATAACTGATCATTCTTTTTAAAAGTCTCGCATTAACCTCTTGCGCTATGACTAAACTTCACAGTTGCGGTGCCGTGCGCTACAATATAACAAGCGGTAAAGTGTCTCATTTACGCCGCTCCGCGTCTGCGAGTGCAATCCAGAGCTGTAGCTCGAGAAATAAACAATCTCGTTGTTAGGCGTCGTGTGCACCACATTATTTTCATTTTTGCGATAAATGCCTATCGACGTGGTGTTCACGTCGCTCGCGGTTTGAGACAAAAGCATCTCGACGTGCGTGGCACGTCCTTTTAGCGCAAGTGGTTAAAAAATTTTTGGCTCGTAAAATCTTCAATTTTTTTTAGATAATGAAGCTGTATGTAAGCTGACCTTCGCTGTCTTTTAAAATAAGACTAACCAAAATCAATTAATCAGACGATTTTCTACAATTTTTTTAATGTAATTTGACAGTTTCAAACGTTGTCGATAAAAGTTTTTTCCTGCATCAAGGGACATTTTGCTTGGAAGCAATGCGGAGTCACCTATTTCCTTACTTGGTAACGGGTGATTTTTCTTCCTCTTTCACTAACGATTTTCTTATTCCCCCCCTTCTATTTTGATCTTCCCATTACTTTATGTACTTTCTGGGAATAGTTTTATTTTCGTCTTTGTGAAGATTACATTGCTAGTTCATAAATTAAATGATTACTTGCGTACTTTCTTTTGGACTCTGTATACAGACAGTGGCATAACAGCCAATATTTTTCTACTGATTATTGAATTACACAGACTTACCGTAAATGAAGGGATATGAAAGTTGATGAAATAATAGTTCAATGCAATTTAGTTACAAACGACAACATATTTATGTACTCTATTTCGTTTCAGTATGGGGTTGCTAAACCTGATCAGATCGAAGTCGTCAAAGGCCTTTTCATACCCGGATGTGCGGACTGCACCAGCCAAATTTTGTTACAAGCTGTCGGTATTGTGGGAGCCATGATCACACCCCACAATCTTTATTTACATTCCTCTTTAGTTAAGGTAAGTACTTAATCATTCAAATTATTGTTATTATACTTTTAAATTTTGGGAAACTTAAATTAGATAATTTCTTTAATCTAAGCAACATACATAGCAAAAAAGAAGAAAATTCAATATCGTTATACAGTTGTTTTGATTTTTGAAGGTTCTTGAGATTGAAAAGCAGTAATTTAAAACATGGTCCCCTACCAAAGGACCATTGCACAATTGCTGTAAGCTGGAAACGTAAGTTTTATTGGGTGCTTTCCTAGAGTTTAAGAAAACAGATGAATCATATCATGTCAGACTATGATACGTTAGTAAAACCATATGGTGAATAACAGATGAATGTACCTGACTGGTACAGCATGAGTTGAGTCTACTTAAGAGTTAATTTATTCAGGTACTTGGCGGAGTAGTAAATTATCTGGGATAACTATACTAGATTCCTGTTTCAATCTTGTCTTCCATAGCTGTATTCCAATGCGGGTTTCCATGCCATGCCTTGAAATCACCACACTACAGAATAATTCACGGCTGTTGACCACGTCGATAAAGCATATCTGGAGGGCACACAGACAAAGCATATCTGGAGGACCACATGGGGAAGAAACACAGTTTTCACCTACACTTGGAAAGACTTCACATACTTCTTGAGGGCACACAATCTTTACCACCATCGCTTGTGGATTCTGCTGTTGGATTAAATATTTTACCTTTTTCTGCTCGGCGCAGCCGCAGAGGTGGAATGCAAATTTCCCAACATATACACTTTCAAGGAATTTAATAACTGATTGTTGTGTAATTTGACCTGTATGTAATGAATAGAATCATATGAACTGTTCAGTATGTAAATGGGAAAATAGTAACGCACAGAAATGCTGGGGGTATAAATATGTAAATCGTGGGGTTAGTTTGTACGCCAGAAATGTGCAGACAGTCAAAGTACACATGGGGTACCGTCTGCACCATTGGGTACTTTCAACTCAATGTAGAACGGATTTTTTAAGTATGCATTTTCCCAAGGTGGGTAAATGACCTGAGCAGTGAAAGGGAAAAAAGGGATAAATCCAAGACTATCGCCTTATACTTTGCATGCAGCAGTAGGTTCGGAAGGAGAAGCTCATGACGATTATGCAGGATTTAAATTTTTAGCGCAAAGGGCATTAGCTGTTGATTTCGTTTTGGCATTTTGCGTCGCTTCACTATAAATGGAGTTTTCACTTTTCAAACTGTTGCCACCAAATATTATCGCCCTGTATTATGTTTAAAGAAATTAAATAATGAAGAATCTGGATAAATGTATGTATGTTTCTCGCATTGTGATAAAACAACGGTACCTAGAACCATCACATTCTGAATAACGTACGTCTCCACCCGAATATGGGCAACTGGAAGCCCAAATTTGGAATTTATTTTATTATATATTTCATATTTTGCAAAGCATTTATGAGCTTTTGATTAACAAACTCAGCGATTTCAAATGACAAAACTGTACGGGAAAAAAAAGTAACATTTTTATTTTCAGCGCGCGAGGACTGTATCGGAAATTCTAAAAATACGCTCTTTTTAAATTATTTTGCGATATTGTTGTTCAATTGGATTTTATGGTATAAGTGCGAAGAACATGATATATAATAAATAAAGGTAACACACAAAACGTTAAAAAAAAAAAAAAAAAAAAAAAAAAAAAAAAGGCTATTTGGTCACAGCATATAGCGGAAGAACAGAAAAGAATTTTCAAATTAAATTTCTCGAGAATATTTTAATAGAGTGAAAGAAAAAAAATTCCTTAAATATTTACTAAAATATCATTCTGAGTAACAAAACATAAAAAAATTTTGCATATATATATAAGTTAATATAATTTTGAGGTAACTTTAAGTATTTGTTAGAACTAAAATTACTATATTTACTTCTCAAACTAAATCACACCTGAATTTTTTGGGTATAATATTTTTGCTTTAAGCAATAGCGCAATGAAAGATGATATAAAAATCGCATAACTAAAAAGATATACATTACATCAATGTCGTTTCTTAAAAAATGCCTCAAAATATTTATATTATAAACGAGAAAAAAAAGTGAAAATATAGTGTAAGAACTATTACTAGAAATAAAATCGAAACACTTTACATAAAAAATTTCTTTTTACAATAAAATAAACAATCACAAAATACGATTTCAAAATTATATGACAAATTATTGATTAAATTACATAGCTGTATTCTCCCTAAATCAATTTTTTTTTTATTGTGGCAATCACATTAACTCTGGTAAAGAGATGTGAACTTTCCAAAACATCATATTTAGATTAATATATTATGACAAAGCAACTACAGTTGTTTGCCTGAGAGAAGGGTTATCTTAGTGGAAAGCTTTCGAAGAGGAATGGGCTCCTATTCACGTTTGTTCACGAAAACGTTTATACGGCCAGCCCTTTCGCCGGAATTCAAACTTAATTCGAATTACCAGCTATTAGCATAGATTCCGTCAATATGGTCTCCAGAATATCATGAATAATTATGATATATTTTGATGCAGACTAAATTACTTAAAGCAGATGAATGATTAGTAAACCATATGTCAATAAAGCACCGAATGAAGACAATATGAAACTGCGATTGAGTTGGAACAAACTGAGACCTGTAAACATCAGACGATCATCCCAAAGAAACGACTTCAGAAGAGCAGTCGTTTGTGATTTTGGATTGTTGAATATTTCTTCCTCATATACTAATTTCAAAGTCTTTCTCATTTGTATAGTCTTTTCAGACACCGAAGAAGCACTCAAAGTTATGAACAAAATTCCGAGGACGCAGTTTGGTGTAAGAATTAAAAGGCGTGCATAGAAAGTTTCTTTATAAACTTTTGATAATATGAGACTCGCGAGAGTACCGAACATTGTACCGAAGTAGAAAGTAACTGACAGAAACAGGATGGCTGAAAAGCACTGAATCATGAATTCGTGGCACTTTCGAATACGTTTATACAAGTGGCACTTAATGATAAGTTCAGAGTTCGAATGCTTATTCGTGAGTGTTGCATTAAAATGAGTTATTACCTTCCCCAGGCATCGACAAAATATGCAAAAGATTAAGGTCTGAATACCAGTTAAAGATACCGAAGAAAAATAAAAATATGTGTCCAAGAAAAAAAGGAGGAAAGAATGTGCGACTTCATTTAATTCAAAGTTTGATATCGCATACGAATAGGTTCGATTTGTGTTTTTGTTGTAACTGAGAAGTAAACCATTTACCAAAGCTAAGGCAATTATTAAAACGCAACAACTTACGTAAATGTACAAGCGTTTATATCCAGCACAATGCATGATAACCATAAGTTCTTGGATATCCTTGCTTAGAATTTTCAGTTCTTTGACTTTCGATTTCAACAAATATAAACTTATTAACGGCAGGATTAGTGACAAACATACAGACGCTGCTGTTAGAGGTTTGAAAGGGGTTCGGAAGAACATGCATGTGATTAGAATCCACAACACAGTTACGTGATGGAATAAGCAAAAAAACAAATTCAGCAACTCCTTGCTACAGATTATTCCTTTTGGCTTTGTACATACACATTTAAGGATTTGAGTAACTAAGCTTAGTTCGGTATTCTGGGCAAAAGGATTTTCTTCTGCCGGTCTATCCTCCAAAGATACAATTGTCGTAACAGGCATAGTTCTCTGCTTTCTGTTTTTAAATATGGGATTAATTTTTAGAATATAAAATTAGGAGTTCTAACTTCCTACTTACACTGTAGAAGAAAACGCTTATTTCTGAACGAGATACGACACAGAAATTCTGAGTTATTGCCACCGACTGTTAATAAATTTTCACGATTGTAGTTGGCGATAGAAACATTTTCTCAATCTCTTCTGGGATGAATAAATACGGAATAATACGGAATAGTGTGGTTTATCAATGACTTTTAAGGTACTTCATCCAAATTTTACCTGCAAACGTTCGAAGAAGTATAACGCAATTTTCTTCGTTTTTCAGTACCACTTATACGATCGAATATGCTCCTCATATCATCATAAAAAGATATGGTAGGTTTAATAGATTCATCAAGGAAATTTCAGATGTTTTATACACATGATTACTTAAAACAATATTATTTAATTTCATTAACTTTAACAGTCATTCTCATTAAAAATAAGATAAAGGTTCGAATTTGCTATTTGCGAAGCAAATGGTATCGAAGTTATGATCACTTCACTTCAAAACCCATATGTTTCTGTTTGGAATACGTTGTCATAGAAATCTTCCGGCAAATAAACAATGCATACACTATTTCGATTTGTACATTTACAAAATGACATTTAATTATTTAAGATTGAATTATTACTGTAAATTATTTTTATTCTGTTTTCCCCCCTTTAAAGATATAGAATATTTTAGAAGCATTAGCGAAATTAAAAAAAAATCAATGCTTTTCTCTTAGAAGCTTCTCAAACTCAAGTCTATACGGTTAAAAAAAAAAGACATTCGCTTTTCATATGAAAAGGAAAGGAAATTTTTTTTTTTTTCTTTAGAGAGAATCATGGAAGAACTTAATTTCGAAATCGATGCAGAATTTGTCGATATTGGGTAAAATTGAATAGATGTTGTTGAACTTCTGTATTCCTAAAATCTTATGTTCCAGAGCTACGATTTTAGAATCAGAGCTTTCTAAAGTAATTGAGGAATCTGAATTTTATTTTATAAAAAAAAAACAATAATAAAACCCCTTTCTCAACATTAAGCGGAAATTTAAATCTCACGAAAATTGGAATGAATTCATTATTTGAATTAGCAGCGCGTATAAAAATCAAAAAAATAATTTCAAAAACAAATGTTCTCGTCTGTTGCGAGGAGACATCAATACAAAATAAAATTTCATCGCTCGACTTTTCGCCACTCTAATCGTAATAAGAGTCCATCAGCAGCCGAGCGGTAAAATTCCTGAACGCTGGTAGTTCGGTCCGAGGTTCGAATCCCACGAATGGGCTGGCAGCATAGGCGCTTTCGTTGTTTTCCACGTGTGTAACGTGTTAGTACGAGCCAGTTTGCCTTCGCGAAGACACCCTTCCCTTCCGTATAGTGCCTTAGGGCGGAATACGTAAATAATAATAAGATGACTTGATCTTTATCATTATGATAAAACCTGTGCCCATTTGTCAGCATTAGTCATCTTGAGATCACATACATTTCTCATTAATTTTTATTCACGTTAAGGGGTATCAGAAACCCCTATACCGACAATGTTAAATTGGCCATTTTCGATGTACCTTTTCTCAAAATCTGCTGTAGATACAAGCTTGAAATTTTTTCTGTAATTAAAGTATGTACCTATCTGATTATACTGAAATGAGCTTTTGAAACATTTTGAATCTTAGAGTAAATTACAGGATATTTTGTTAGACATAGTAAAATTTAGCACTTTTCTCACACAAAAAATTTTTAAATTTTTTTTTCTAAGTTTATTACAAAAAGCTCATTTCAGTAAATATTAGGGAACCTAATAAATAAGCCATAGAAAGTTTATATAACTGTGAGCAGTAGTTCCTGAGAAAAGGTACATCGAGTATAAAAAAATCACGTTTGGAGAAAAACGCGTTTTTATGTAAAAATCCTCTTTGATCAAAGCAGTAGATGACAAATTAAAACTAGATTTTTTTACAGTCATTTTCATACAGATTAAAGAATGGTATTTTTAGAAAGATAAAAGTGTAGAGAATTTGAAAATGCAAAAATCTGAAATCACAATTTTTTGAAGATTTTGGAGTTCCAACTCCCCTTAAGCTTTTTTTTAATTGCATGAATATTGTTAAGCTACTATTTCATTTAATTTTTTGCCTAAAGGAGCGTTAATCCAGAAGGGCTATTACTCTCGAAACGGCATTTTACATCGAATCACTATAAACGGCTGTATCACTTTTCAAATTGTTGCCACCCAGTATTATCGCCCTATATCATATTTGAAGAAACTAAATAATGAAGAATCTGCATAAATATATGTATGTTTATCGCATTGTGAAAAAATGAAGACACCTAAAGTCATCAAATTTTGAATAACGTACGTAGTTTTCTACCCGAAAATGAGCATTTTGAATTTCGAATTTGTTTTATAATCTATTTCATATTTTGTAAACCTTTAACGAATTTTTGAATAAAAAACTCAACGATTTCAAAGGAAGCAATGGCAACACTGTACAGAATAAAACATTTTTATCTCCTTCGCGCGAGACTGTCCGTTGGAAATTCTAAAGAAATGAAGTTTTTAAATATTTATAGCCCAAAAGGGCATTTGCTCTAATGCTCTCGAAACGTGTATGTGTATGTTAATGAAAAAAACGCCCTTTTGGGCGCAATCTAAAATCTAAAAGCTTTCAGATATTTTAAGCCCGAAAGGTACGTAGCTCCAATGGGATATTAGTCTCGAAACGGCATTTTGCAAGGAAACAATGAAATGTGTTGTTTTACTTTTCGAACTATATTTTATTAGATTATTAATTTTCAGTCAAAAACGTTTTATCTGCACCTTCGGTGGCAGATAGGTCTATTACTGAAACATCATAATTTTTATAACATAATTGCTAGAATTATTTAGGATTATCTATGCCTGATCTAAATAATCAACTCCTTTTATTTTTTTATATTTATTAGCCCAAAAGTGCGTTAAAAGCATTTCGAGGGCTATTGGTCTCGAAATGAAATTTTGTTTCGTCCCCTAAAACGGCGAATCTCTTTTCAAATCGCTGCCACCAAATGTTATCACCTCATACTATTTTTAAAGAAATTAAATGATGGAGAAACTGTATATATATATATACGTTCCTCGCATTTTTAAAAAAACGACGGCAATTAGGGCCATCAGATTTTGAATAACGCAGTCCTTCACCTGAGCATGTGCACGAATTTAAATTCCGAGTCCTATATTTCATATTTTGTGAAATTTTAAAGATTTTTTTTATTAAGGGACTCAACGATGTGAAAGCGAGCAGTGACAATACTGTAAGGGAAAAAAAAAACATTTTTTTATATCCGGTGCGAGAGATCGTATATCGGAAATTCCACTAAAGATATGCTGTTTTTAAATATTTTGTGATTTTGCTGTAGAATTGAATTTTACGTGACGTAAGTGCGGAGAACATCATATTCAATATATAATGCTATCTCACAAAAGGTTAATAATAAAAAGAGAGAAAAATGCTTTATAAGCCATCATACTAAGAAAATTGAGCATGGACATGATGAACTCAGAAAAGACTTAAATAGAAAAATGTTATGCCAACACTCATCACTGCATTGGAAATTCTAAACATATGCTGCTTTTAAAATTTTTGTAATTTTGCTGTTGAATTATGTATGGCGTAAGTGCGAAGAAAAGTATGCTTAATAATAAAACTAAAAAGAAAAAAGAAATGGGTTAGCAGGAGTGAGTGCAAATGCAGACTGGTACACTGCGAGCTCAGCGAGAGCGTAGAAAACCTCAACAAACCCTTTTGGGGGACCATTAAAATCTAAACTCTTTCAAATATTTCTTTCTTTTTTTTTTTTTTTTTTTTAATTTCCACATTTATTAGCCCAAAGGGGCGGTAGCCCAAAAGGACTATTAGTCTCAAAACGGCATTTTGTGGCGTTTTACCATAAATAGCGAATCACTTTTTAAATTGTTGCCACCAAATATTATCAATATTATCACTGTATTATATTTAAAGAAAGTAAATAATGAAGAATCTGCATGAATGTATGCATCTTTCTTTCATTGTTAAGAAAACAACAGTACTGAATGTCATCAAATTCTGAGTGACGTAGTCCTCCTCCCGAACATGGGCACCTAGAGGCCCGAATTAGGAAATTGAGATTTGTTTTATTGTCTATTTCATATTTTGTCAAGCTTTAACGAATTTTTCGTTAACAAATTCAACGTTTTCAAAGCAAGCAGTGGCCACACTTTAGGGGAAAACATTTTTATCTCCAGCGTGCATGACTGTCTATTGGAAATTCTAAAGATGTGCTATTTTTAAAAATTTTTTAGCCCAAGGTAGCGTTACCCCAAATGCTCTCGAAATATGTATATGTCTGTAAATTTTTTAAATATATGTCTGTAAATTTTTTTAAATGTCCGTTTCGGCGTAATATAAAATCTGAAAGCTTTCAGATTTTCTTTTTATTATTATTATTATTATTATTATTATTTTTTAATTTTCATTGTTAAGAGTAAAAAATCAAACACCCAATGCTCTGCTTAACATTGGTTACTTGGTAAAATTTGCTTTGACCACAATCGGGTGGTCTAAATCACAATTTAATTTATTGTATTACTGTATTTAATTTAATGAATATTTCTTTTCAGAGCAGAAATATCAACAGGAAGAACAAAGAGGAAGTAAAGGATGCTAACCGATATTATTTCATCGAATCTGCCATCGCACTTTTTGTGTCACTCATCATCAATATATTCGTAGTGTCAGTTTTCGCACGAGGATTGAGTGGAAAAACCAATAGTGAAGTGGTAAATTATTTTCTTTTCTCTCTCTTCTTGTTGTTATTATTACTCCTCTTCATTTCTCTTGTTGCTGTTATTATCTATTATTAGTACTGACGATTAAATTGCTACTGCTGTTGCTTATACTCTGTTGGAAACATAATTATTCTATTATTAATGGCTTTAGGTAATCATGTTATGCTATTTCTCTTAACCCATTTTTTTTCCTGTTTATACGCTTTTTAAAAACAAAAATAATATAATCATATCTCTTACTAGAGATGAACAAAACCCCTCCTTTAAGGAATCATATCGGAACCATTCGCTCACTGAAGTGAATCAGCTCTTTTTAACGGTTCACTGCTTACTAACAATGACTTGATGAATGAATGCGCTTGGAATAGGCGTGGATCAGAAGCGGTGTGCAAAGATCGAGGAAAAAGCAGAAAGAATCGAACAACTCAGCCAAACAACTCAGGATCGCTGGAATCAACTCGCCAAACCGCGCACTCCCTGGGCTGATTTCTTTCGAATGTACTTTTGAGATTCCATAAAAAAAAAAAAAAAAAAAAAAAAAAAAAAAAACTTTCTACATAGAACAACAATAAAATTCTGGAATAAAAAATGCTAAAAGTTAAAAAATAATGAAATCTAAACTCACTTTTGTTAAAGATTATTTTATTTCATTACTATAATTGATATTTTGTTGCTACTACAAAGCACATTGTAAAAATTAATTTTTAAGTTGGAGGCAGGCTCCAAAGAACAGGAAATTGTCTGCTGACAATGCTGGCATTTTCCTTTTCTTTAAATCTAATTTGACAAAATAATACCAAATATCGATCGACGTTCTTTTATGCGGTAAGTCCGCATTTGATCTGCAACCTTGAAAAAATACATTCGATGGAAAAATTTAAGTTTATAAATATATGCTAATTCTAAAGAAGATTAAAGAGAAATTCACAACTCTTGATTACAAGACGTTAGAAAAATAAGTAAATAAATAAAAATATAATTTATATTTTAGATAAATATTACAGTAATATTGCATAAAGAAAACGTAATACCCAGGAACAGCTCCGAGGAAGCGAAAAGAACAAATAATCAAGATTCTTCAGGAACCAGATTTGCAGCTAGAGCAGGAGCGATGAAAGAGAAAATAATCACTACCTCCGAAGGACACAGATCTGCGACTAGCGACGGAGCGCTGACAACTGGAATCCGAGGAACTAGTTCCATAACCTACGTACTTTAAAGAGATTCCTCGCTGTGCCAGATGGGAAAAAAGACTCCATCCATTTGCAAACATGGGGTGGTCGGTTTTGCTGAGATGCGTCGGTTTATTTATTGTTTTGTTTTTTTCAATACTAGATGGAACAGAATCAAACCAAAAGCGCGCATATTTATATACATAACACACATACATATAGCGCGCAATATCGCCTTCTCTGTCGGTAGTGGTGATAGTAATTCTCGCGGTTTTGAAATTCGAGGATCATGCGTGGTATTTCTGTTTGTTGCATTAGTGTGCAAAGTTTCTTTTTTCCCGAATCGTAATGCCGCGTATGCATTTTTTCATAAATATCATTGCATTTTTTCCGAAATATGGCATTTTCTTACTTGTGCAGAATGTAGGAATGCTCATTCGATGAAGTTAATTTATGCCATTCTCTAAATTTTTTTAAGTTCAGACAGGTAGATGTTGTGTCAAGACTTGTGTTTCTCTTTATTTGCTTTGGAAACATGAATGGTCCTGAATCGGAACAGGGAGCTTACTCAAGCTATGTTCAAGAAGGTGTGAAGTAGACAACACAAGCAGGAAGGGTATACGAAACCCTTTATTTTCAATCTTTTACAGGATCTTCCGAGCTTCGGAATACAAAGACCAACCACTTGTGGTCTGAACGTAAGAATATAAAAACTACTAACTAAAACTCTAACTAAAAACTAACTTTGAATTAGTATACAAATGCCTAGCACTAAGATTGGCCTTTATTTAAAAAAGGTACGTATGTAGTACGCCGAGGTGCTAAAACTACGATACGTCTGCAATTATCAAGTGGGCTAAACCTCTGGCCTTAAAGGCAACCAGCAACAGAGTGAAAATTCGTAAAACTACAGTGGCAAGCGGCTTGCTTTCTATAACTCCTTCCTCTTTTCTCTCTTGGCAAAAAGCCACAACTTAAGTACTTCGCGTTAGCAAGACAATTTGCATAAACAAGTTAAATCACTTAGTTCTGGCCGGAAGTAGAAAATAAGAAGTGATAGTACAGTTTTAAAATAAAATAAACGTTAGTAAAACTTAGGATCCTTACAGTTGTACATGGAGAGCAATGTCAGTTTGCTCTACAATGCCGAAAATTGTACAGTTCTCTGATTTTTTTAAGTTAAAACAGATCGCTGTTTTGTCTTGTTAGGGCGTAGCCCGGTCCACCTTGCAAAACAAAGTTTGCCCTATGACCCTATACGGGCTACGCCAGTACAAAAGTCACCACACAACTATACAAACACACGAATCACACAATGACAATGGCTCCTTTATTGTTGTTAATAATCTTCATAATCTTATACGCTATTCCTCTTGCCTTAAGTAAACCATTTTTCATAAAATCTATGTTCGCTCCATCAATGCATCTGGTTAACTTACATTCTGTAATAAAGTGGACATTGTATCCTACTTTTGTACATACTTTACATAAATCATTATCTTGAACATAGAATCTTTTTCAGATAAAAGGGAAATCTCCCATGAACTGTAATTAACTGATTCAAGCCAATGCCATTGTTAATATTCATATTTTCCTTAGGAATAAAAATCTTCATGAAAATATTATTTTTAGCAGAGTTCCATTGAGTCCGCCATTTCTCTACAATGTCACACTTCATAATGCTAATGCATCTTCTCCTGGAGACTTGTACATCGACAGTTTCAATATCATTACTCATTGTTGCCTCCTCTGCAAATGAAAAATACGCCCATTTGGACGTAATATAAAATTTGTATGCTTTCAGATTTTTTTTTCACTTGTTAGGTTGGTGGAAAAGTAGTTATCAACAACTGACGACTTTGCAGGAGGGTTGGGTGGATAACGTGAAAGTATCAACGTAAATTCTAACTCAAAAATCAGTAAATTTCCAACAGCCATTAATATATGAGACGAATGATGTTGTTTTACGTTTTTCGCCATTTTTCAAATTTCAGTTGTTAATTTTATAGTGAGGATTCTTACAATTTCTTGTAAATAATCATCGGAGATCATTGATCGTAAAATGCTTTTATTGAAATTCATGATCCAAATGTTTGTTCACATATGTACGTTGATTAAAAAAAGCGAATATTTCTTGAAAATATTGTCGAACTTGTCCGAATTAATAATCTAATATTTGCAGATTTATTTGAGACACTGATTTCAAAGGAATTTCCCTTAAGATGCTCTTCTCTTAGTATCACATCGTATAATCTCAAGTTGTGGGTCACTTTTCTTTTCTTTCGGTGCACTGTCGTTTCTAATTGGCAACGATTCACGAACTATCATCGAGATTGTTTCAGCTTTTCCAAAATCGCCAGATCTTGGTAATTAAATATTTTCTATGAAGAAAAATTTACGATCTATAAAATTGTTTTGATTTAACAAAACTAGAAGTTACAGATTAAATCTCAAGCTGACAAATTAAAAGTGTATTATAAATTCAAACTTATTTTTGTTAAACTCGCATCAAAAGACATGAAAAAAAAAAAGAAGTAAATTAGTCTAAGAAATATGTTTACTCTCGGTTCATAGAAAAATGCGCTGAGCGCCGAAGTTTATTTTTCCGAGCTTTATTTTAAATAATTAGATTAATATACATTGCTAGAAAACATCTTTCTTAATACTTAGAAAACATCTTTCTTAATACTTAGAAAACATCTTTCTTAATTCCAAATTAGCATTTGGCATGATACTATATTAATTTTGTAATTTATAAATGCAAACAATTTCCAGATTTTGTAATTTATCAATGCAAAATTGTTTAAACTCTCATTTTGACAGTTACTTATACGAGCTCTATTTTCTAAAGTAAGTTCTTTAATTCTTTTTCCCTTTCAGCTGGATTTGTGTATAAATGAAGGTTTGAATGTAACAGACGTCTTCCAAGTAAGATATGTTTCTACTTTGACAGACTTACCTTATTAATAAAAAAACATATTTAATTCAAACTTAGTTTATAACTCGCTTCAACTGAAGATTACAATCGCCTGTTGCCTAAAATTGATAGATTCTTTGGTTATGTGGATTGATTAAAATCGACGGCATAGAATAATTAATTTTTTCCCTTTGTTTTGCTTTCAACGATAACCATGTTTTTTGTTTTAGTTATTGTTCATTTTGCAATACTCTTCGGCTTCATAATGCATATTTTCTGATTTTATTATTAATGCGTTTTTTTTTAAATATGAGCAATTTAAGCCATTATGATTCTGTTATTTTTCTTCTGCATACTTTTACCTTTCTTTAAATGTTTTTAATATTTGTATTAAGCTCCTAGATGATGGCTAATCTTAATGTTTAATATTATATGTACATAATTCATTACGAGCAAACAATCCATATTTTTTGTATAATATTAGAACAAACAGAAGAAGACAGAAAGAAATATAATCACACGTACGAAAGCGCCCTATCGAAATTTCAGAGTAAAAATTAAATTATCAAAAATTAAAGGATAATTATTAAAATTAAACTAAACTTTTATCCCAAGCCGAAAGAACACATAGATATTAATATATAGACAAATATAAAGACGCATCCTCTTATTTGAAGTTAAATAAATCCGAAACTGCTTGCATCTAAAACTGCAAAAATATTTTAAAACAGGAAATTGCCTTTACTATTTGCTTGTAACTGTAATTATTTAGTAGTATAGTATGCCATCTCATCCGCCCAGCGATTCCCCAACTTAAAGCATCTTATTTTAGCGTGTTCAAAAGAATTTAGGTCAAGTGAGTTGGTGGCTAATACCTTCGAAAAATATTTTCCAGACTGAAGATATTCGGCCACTATCAGAGCTCAATGAGTATTACCATCCATGGACAAAGAAATTAGGGTAAAACAAGTCGTACCACCGGCTTAAGTCGTATTTTTCAAAAATTAGGCATAATATCACGCCAACTGCGCTTTTCCAGGCAAAACGAGTCACCCCTTAGTAAACTATATTGTTTCACATCGTGTTCGTCTCCCTCTAATATTTGTAAGGAAGACCGCGAAGATTCGGTGCCTAAAATGCAAGAGATAAGTACACGACTTATGGGCTGGAGTTGTCAGGAAAATGAAACTATACCTTTAGGATCACTGTTGTAATTAAGTGTATAAATAAATTACTGGTGGAAAAGAAAGATTTATTATAACTGTTCAATTTTAAACGTAGTACGACTTAAGCTATAGGTGGTACGACTTAGAATACTGGTTGTTTAAGTCGTACTGGGTTTGTGTTCATAAATTTTATTAACTTTATCCAAGAGTGTAGGGAATTTTATTATGTTAAATATCAGCGACGACAGCACAAAATATTATTACCACACATTAACTTTGTTTTTTTTCATAGATCCTACGATTTATATTTTTTTTCTATATGATCTGGTACTATCTTCATTAATTTTCATTCCCTCAAAATGGCGGGTTCTCAGTCTAGTAATGGTCTTTGTTATTTCTTTGTTTGCATCAATCTCACATATCTGATGGTCTTTCTTAATAGATTTCTCTTTGAATCTATATCTGACAATGACATTAGCATCTGCAAGAGTGACAGGGAAGCCTGGAACTCCTAGAGAGTCCAAATCCCCAAGCTGGCGGATATGGGAATGCCTCCTTCGGTGGTAGAAGAGAAATGAAGTATTTTCCGCGGACCAACAGGCAGAAGTCCAACCTCTTGAGGCAATGGCAACAATTTTTCCATGCGAGATCATTTTATGGAGGTCAACCTCTACGCTGTTGCAGAGCCTCTGTCTTGATATAGGATACCATGTGGCCAATATTCATGATCCCTCGCCACAAGTAAACCGCCATCAGTGATAGATTGGCTTATAACATATACTATGAAAGTTTACATAGTCTGTACTTTCGTTGAAGGCACGGCCGGAATCTGTATTTAAACTGGAATCCTCCGTTAAAAATACTTGGTTGCACTTATGATGCAGACGATACCATCTTAACCTTCTGCCTTATTCGGCCGAGGTAGCTTGAGAAAGCCACCACGCAGTGATTCGCCCGAGTATACTCGGCGTATTAAAATGCTTAATATATAAATACCCCGAGGGCTAGTAGTAAATATCTCCAGTTTTCCTGCAAAGTATATTTTCCTTACCTTCATCAAAGCGACTTTTAGCAGCGCTACAAAAGAAGTTCTTCAGTAGAACTTCAGAGAGTTCTACTGAAGAACAAAACTGCCCCTCTCTTCGGATATTTGAGATGCTTTAGAAATTATTTGAGTGTCGACAACGCAGAGTGGCGTTTTAACACAATAGACTCTCTACTTCAAAGATAGGAGAATGTAGTTCCAGGTAGGGAAACGGACTATATTTAATGCAGAGGACAAAATTTTTCAGACCGGTTTTTTACTGTGATTGCTTACCACTGCAATGCGAATTTCATTTCGTTGAGCTACCATTTAAAGGGTTAAATGCTCTCTTCTGAATGATGCTAAAAGCGAAATACAACTAAGTAGTTTTCTTGCATAAAGACCATGTTCATGAAGCTTTCGATAAACAATATGCTTATGCGAGTACCAGTAGCGGCTGAGAAGTTGCAAGTAAGTTGACTAGTGATTGAAAAATGGTTTCTTCTTGCCAGCAATAACAAATAGCATATTTTAAAGCTGCAGTTACTCTCGAATGGTTTGGACCAAAAAGACAACTGTTTCCATGCTTAAACGGTTCCGGATCTTAAGATTATACTTTGGATAATATTCAGCTTTCTGGAAATGTCCACTAAAGGATGTCTTGAAACATATGATTAATATTTGGCTACAGTTAGATTTACAGATTTACATCCTTACATTCAGTTCAGATATCTGCAAGATATCGATTATGATTCGTTCCATGATTTTCTCGCATTCACCTTATTTGCATGTTTGGTACTCAAATACCTACTCATCAGCAGGATTTTGTGTTCATTAGCTTAAAACTACCATAAATAATCATTATAAGGGTATTTTAATGTTTTTGTATAGCATTAAAATCACTTTTAAATTTAATTTCCAGCATAGAAATTTTACTTAAAACCTCAAACACCTTTCTGTAATGTAATCTACCTCCTACTAAATGATTCTCTTGAGTATGGCATGCATTTTCCGCATCTGCAAAAATCAGACGACAGTCAGTGCTGTAAAACGAATTGATTTTGCCAAGAACTATTCTTTTTATCGTAATTTTATGCAATTAATGCTACACTTTAAAATCTGTATAACATTTTGACTTCTTCATGAGATCCTTTTTGAAACAATGAACTATTTTTGAAGTTTGAAATTAGCTTCATTTACAAAAATAGGTTTAAAGCTAAATTTACATCAAATGCTGAAAAATTTTTATTCTGCCCTGTATATTTTACTGCGCAGTAAATGTCGAGTGTTGTCATAAAAACATTAAAAAAACTGTGTTTTTAATTTTTTAATTAAGTATTCTGCATAATGTTTCCTATTTAACTACTTAAATGCAAATTACACGCATAATTTTTTAAATACATAACGCACAGTTTCCTTGATAACCGAATCCTGAGCTATAAAGAATACTACAGTATGCCATATATCGCATTCAGACAAAGACGTGCCCAGTGAATTCGAACAGTTTGATATTCGTAATTTCAATAACTATTCATTTTGAAAAGTTGTTTAAAAATGTCACTTCATGGCGGCTGAAAAGTGAAGCACTTTGTAAGATTTGCTTTTCTATCTTTTCATTTCAGAACAACAACGAGACCGTCGAAGGCGATATTTACAAAGGAGTAAGTAACAGCTTTCTATCCTTAACAACAAATTTTATGACATAGAATAAAGTATTTCTCTAGATCAGCGGGTCTCAGCCTTTTGACTAACACGTAACCATCTAAACAAAAATCGAAAAACTTTAGTACCTCCATTTTACAATGATTTTTCTATTTTTCAATAGAAATATTATAAGGTATTAGTTCCGCCCTCCTATCGTGACTTCGTGGTGTAGGGTTCAGCACACTTTCAGAGGTCTGTGGTTCGATTCCCGGCGATGGGGTTGTAAATTTTTCATCTTTCCTGTTTCCAGAAAATACCTAATGTCTCTACAATATTAAAAAAATATATATTCTACCATTTTAGCAACCTATTGGCTATTTGTATTAAATATGCATGCACAAAAATACTAGATTAAAAATTAGTTATCATTTTAATTATCAAAATTTAAGTTATAATACTTTAATTCTAAAATTTAGTATAAATCGTGGGCTTGTTTAAGAGAGATCAGTTTCTTTATGTCGGGTATTATTTCACTTAGCTTTAAATTAGAATCTGCTTTTAATTTTGTTCTGTATTTATTTCTCTAATGTAACATGGATGAAAAATCCTTGTTCACGCAAATAGGTTGCGCAAAAAGGCAATAAAAATTTAATAGCTTTATTTGAAATGCCTTTAAATTCTTTTTACCTTTTTCAGTTCAGCCAAAAATTAACAAGTGTGTTGTTTTTGAAATCTTCAGTTAATTGTTGGATCACAGGAAATTTCTATCAAATGTTCATTTTCTTCACGAGATTTTTTAATTTAATAGTTAAAAATACTTCGTTTTCTTTGCATATCACCTACTTTTCTCGTGAATATCACCAGTGGTACGCGTACCACCGGTAGAGAATCGCTGCTCTAGATGAAATGATGTTTATATAACTATTTTTGAAATGTTCATGCGTTGTTAGACATAAAAATTTGCATTATGCCTGCGCTTTTACACGTTATCCCTGCACGAATTCAGGAATTATTTGAAATTTCTAATGAAACTGAACCTGTAACATTTAAATTAGTTTTTTTTTTTTTTTTTTTTTTTTTTTTTCCTATTTCTTTCGAAAATACCATCCTAAAAACATATTAAAACTCAATGAGATAAGTATTTATTTCTCTTGATAAGTAGTTTTATATTAAAATATTGAGCAACATGAATGTGTTTCAAATGAATGAGTGACAAGCGTATTCTGTATAGACTCATCACTATTATTATGATATAAGTTATGATATAAGTTCTCTAAATATGGAACTAAAGAGTGGCAGCCAATAGTCAATTATCAGCATAGTAAGGGTTTAATAACCACTGAAAGACTTAACAGTTTTTTTTTTTTTTTTTTTTTTTTTTCTTTTGACAAAAGATTTTGTTGCTACTAAGAATAGCTTTGTTAACAAAAATTATACAATTAAAAAAACCAAAGTATTTTAATTTTCGTTGCGTAAACTCCAAAACATATTCATTTCAACTAAACGGAATGATGAAATTATTTTGTAACACCAAATCAAAACCAATTTCTAGTTAAATAAATTTAAGCAATCCAACTAATTTTCATTTATGTGAGCTCTAGCACTAAATTTAAACAGAAAAATGAGTTTGTGTGAAGCATAACCTACTCATATTCAAGTAAAATTTATCCAAAATACGGTTTTATTGATGTGAAATTCCACAAAAGAACCTCATCATAAAATTACTATTAAGATGAAATTAATAATATAATGTTTCTTTTTAAAAATATGAGTACTTCTTACGGCTATGAAATGATTCACGCTATGAAAAAGAAAAGTAAGCTTACATGCAATAATAATGCAATTATTTTCCTACTAATAAGCTACATGTTTGCCATCTGATACGAGGTGACATGTTTTTGATTTAAATGACACGAATATGTACAAAATACAATAATGTACAATAAATTATTTTGTCTTATACGCCCATACATATTCATTTAAAAATTTAATAGCTTCTTTAAAATGATAAAATGTACTACTTTATCTTTTCCTCTTATTAAAATAAACGAAAAAAATAAAAGCACGAAAATAAATTGATAAAAATCTTAATTTCCAATGACTTCAGATGAATAACAGCAGATCTTAGAGATAACTAGAGTTATTAATTATCAAATAATTCCTTAGATCTTTAGAAAAGAAATACTTTAAATTATTAAGAGGCGCGCTTATTTCTTGTAAATCATTCAGCTACAGACCGATTAAATTTGTAATATAAATTAAGATATTACGTCTTGCTGAATGGCGGGTATGAGAGAACTTTCGTGCAACGTAACATAACTGTGTCTGCCGAAAACATCGCGGCAAATTCATTGCGAACGAAAATGTCGCGGAGAAAGCATCGCAAGGGGAAAACGCCGTCGTACGAAACATCGTGAGAGAAATCAAAGCTAGGAGAAAACATAGTAGTATAAAGTATCATCATCAAAAATAAAGCGGTTAAAAAACTTCGCCATTTAAAAATATCGTCGTCGAAAATATCGTGGTAAGAAATAAAGCACCTTCAAATCATCGCATGACGATAATAATGGCATGTGTCTTTTTTTCAGGCTTTCAAAGTTGTAAATGCATATTCGCATAATGATTTGTGAGCGCAAGAAAGAATGAGGAATATTTGTACTTTTATATTTCATATAATTGAATTAACTAATAAATTTTTGTTCATAAATTAAGAAGGAAATTCAAAAACTGAAAATGAGTAGAAAAATAATGCCAGGTACGGCAAGTAATAGAATTTTAAACTTATAAAGATAACTAATAAATGTCATTAATTAATTAATCTCTTTCATAAAGTTTTAGAGGTAAGTTTTCAAGTAAAATATAGTCTAAAAAGAAATTAGAAAAAGTAACATGAGTAATTACGCGTGGTCACCTCTATTAAAATTATTTAATTAATCATCAAATTATAAAATTCTGTTAATTGATATAAGTAGCATTGGTTTTCTACTCATTTCCAATTTCTGAAGGCTTAAGTTTCCTTCTTAATATCTCAGAAAAAATTTATTAGTTCATTCAAAAAATATAAAAATAAAACTATTTCTCATTTCTTCTTGCACTCACAAATGTTTATGAGAATATGCATTTACAACATTGAAAGCCTGTGTTCACTTCTACGTCTATCGAATTAATTTCCACTTTTCGTTGCCCTGCGTTGGCAACACGCTTTTGAGATTTGTCGTTCATAAAATTCGGTCGCTAAAAGCGTAGCTGACCTGTAATTGTTGTAATTCTTATTTTAAAGCTTATCTGTATTGCTGAATTATTACTAAATGTTTACGTGTGAATGTTTTATTATTAAATGTATGCAGTTTGGTTTAAGTAGACCGAGAGTGGTTGAATTGGGATTATTAAGGATATTTAAAATCAAAATTACATCATCTATTTTCGTGCCATTCTAATAATACGAGGAATTTAAACAGCCTGAAAAAAAAATACATATGGGATGTTAACGTCATGCGATGATTTATAGGTGCTTTATTTTTTACCATGATATTTTTCGACGACGATGATTTTACACTGCGAAGTTTTTTAATAGCTTTATTTTCGGTGGCATTGTTTTGTACTACGTTTTAGAACTGCGATGTTTTCTCCTTGCTTTATTTTCTTCCACGATGTTCTGTATGACGACGTTTTCGACTTGCGTTGTTTTCTCCCCGATGTTTTCGTCCGAGATGTTTTGGCCTGCGACCCATAACACAGCAATCCAAATTTTATAAAAGTCCGAAAATATATTTTTATTTCATAAAATTATGGTGAGAAGAAAAGCTCAAAAATTCGTAAACGAAAAAAACCTTCTGCGTAATTTTTAAAAATCATATACGACGTTAAACCATAATACTTCTAATTTAGAATTTAACTGTATGAACAATTAAAAGTGTGTTAGCTAATATTTTTAAGTATGGGGACTTTCTGATATATATTTTTCGATTCTTTTCAATTGCTTTTTACGCAGGGAGTCTTCCTTGGTTGTCGGTATGGACTGCCATGCATGTACATATGGGCTGTTGGTCTTCTGGCAGCTGGTCAAAGCTCTACTATGACTGGAACATACACAGGACAGTTCGTTATGGAGGTAAGATAATCATTTCTTGACTCACTTCTGACTTTTCTTGACATCATAAACTCGAAATATATCATCTATCTATATAAGGTTTCAGCAACCTATGATTTGCGGGTCACCAAATTACCCATTTCATAGTTTCAAGTGACCCATTTGACTTTCGAAAATAAAGCATAATATATAAAAATAAATTATAAAAGATAATTCTTACTATCCCCAAAATCAGTGATATATATGTAACTGACAGCCTGTTACACTTTGCAGCTAAAGTACAAAAATTTTAAACCAAAAACTTTATTGTTGAATGCTTTAGTTGCTAAAATATTGGGCATGCATCTGATAACTGTAGACTGCAACTTTGCTGCGTGAAATGTGCCAAATCTCGTATCCCAAATCAATGTGAGCGAAAACATACTGAAGCATCAATCTGCTGTAACTGCTCTGGAAATCACCCAAGTTCCTATCGTGGATGTGAACATTTCAGAAAATTTAGTAAAAACACGAATATCCGAACTAGTTTATGTCCCGGTGGTTAAATCTGCACATGTTACTTCAGACTCCAAACAAAATGGTAATATCTGAAAAAACACACAAATGCCCCCAATTAAAGTAAAACTGAAACAAAAAACTTATCACTAAAGATGTTAAAATTAATTCAGGTCTTCTAAATGGTTTTCAAAATATTCGAGAAATTTTTAGCGACAAAAGTATTCAAAATTTATTAAATCAGAAAAAATGCTGATCTTAACACTGGAAAATGTATGATCGATCATATTTAGCTTGCTTGAACAGACTCATAACTAAAATTTCGAATAATTAAATCGATTCCGGACAAAACTGTTTTTGCATCTGCTTTATGACTCTGAAAACGACCCCTTTTTGCTATATAAGAAGATGTGAAACTTTCAGTACTTTAGTCTCCTGCTCCAAGCTTGATCTAAATCTGAGATCATTATTTCATGAACTATGTTATTTAACACTATGTTAGCACTTTGTCAATCTGGGATAAGGCCCAGGAACCCAGTTCTCACGGCCTGAGGCCACCTAAGTATTCATTAAATTTCTGCGTCTATAATTACAATCTGAGCTATCATTTTGTAGAGACATTAGGATATTTTTTTGGAAGCAGGAAAGATGAAAAATTAACAGCGCCTTCGCCGGGAATCGAACCACGGACCTCTGGAATCGGCCCAGCGTGCAGAACCACTACACCACGAAGGATGTTTGGAAAGCGGGAGAAATACCTTATAATTCTACCTCATTAATCATTTGAAAATCGTATTCTCGGTGCATGGACCGTCTGGAGAAAAATTTAAGTAAAACACATGTATAATATTTGCTTTATTTTCCCTTTAAACTATAAAACTTGCAACACAGTAAGACAGAATTGCTTCGTAAGTGGCTATCAAATAGTTAGCTCTCCGTCCGTGTTATCAGCATCACTTTTTAATGTTTTATGGTCGCAAATTGCAATAACTTTATATCTATTAATTTTCAAGATTTTCAAGGTTAGCTTTTAGTTCGAGTCGAATGTGGAGAAAGAAGATGAAGAACGCACAAATCAAGAAAAAAGATTAAAGCGGTTTTCTACGCGCTTAAATGGAATTAACGCAGATCATGAAAACACCCAAAGTCTCGAAGAAATTATGAATAACTTTCTATTCAGGCAAAATTTGGCTGAGAAAGGGGGAGAAAATAGTGTACTCTTTTTTGTTAGAAAGCAGTTTTTTCATGGAATTGAAAGCAATAAATATTATTTATTAAAAAATGTTACTTATTTATAATATGAAATACTTCTCGGATTAATTGCTGTAAGATCTTATCTTCTTTGCTATTATACAAAGTGTCTAGATCTCAAAATCATTCCAGGCGACTTCTCGCACAGGCATGAAGAATAACAGCACAGAAAGAAGGGTGTAGAAGGGTATCCCTTTTATTCTCAAACTCTTTAACAAAAACGTACACGTACTTCGTGCTCGCAATAACAGACTACTTGCAGTGAGAAGGATAATTTAACAATAAATCTAAAAAGGTAAATAAATAGTAGTGCTAGACTATACAATTTACTTAAAGCTGACAGGCTGACTTAGCAACTTACATCGGCAATAGACTATAACTAAACAGCCGGAATGCGTTGGCGCTACTAAGTTAACAGCTGGAAGATAAAACAGCAAACGTGCGCTACACCAGGGAAATCACGCTCTGTCTAACCTTCTCCTTTCGTCTGTTTAAATCACTTAACTTAATTTGCATCCTGGCAAGGAAATGTAAGGCGAAATAAGAAGTTCAGAAAAGATAGCAAGATTAAAATAATTGGTGATTAAAACTAAGGGAAACCCTACATTGTTTCCCCGCATTCGTTGTTTTTTCCTTTTACTCTATTGAAAAACAACAGACCGAAGTTTCACTGTATTAATTTAATAAAAGATGAAGTGAAATTAAATCAGTAATAAAAAACGTAATATGTTAAATTCCCAATTAATTTAAATGCTAATTTAAAGAATACATAAATTTCTTATCTAACATAATTTATCTATTTTGGATAAAAACCGCGAATTCTAATTCTAACGAATTCGGCAACAGTAAAATATACATTAAAGCAAAAAGACTAAATGCAGTTAATATTGTCTCATTTGGTCTTCAGTCCGTTAAACATGTTCTTTTTTTTTTTTTTTTTTTAATTCACTCTTGTGCTTGAAGAGTGTATAAATTCTGGCATGGTGTTTGAGAAAATTCTATAAAACATATCGCAGACGTATGCATTTCATTATTACTATTTGGCATTAGTCATTTACACTTTGTCAGCCGTCTAATTCGATTCAATTAAACTGATGTAATTAAAAATTGATAGCTAATTGAAATACAATTAAATTAATTTTATTCCTTTAGGGTTTTCTTACACTGAAGTGGACTCGATGGAAGCGAGTGTTGTTAACCAGATCAATAGCTATTTTTCCAACTATTTTGGTGGCCGTGTACAAGGATGTCAATCACGTGAGTGGTATGAATGACTTCCTTAACGCCCTAATGTCGATGCAACTGCCTTACGCGCTCATGACAACTTACATCTTCACGTCTTCAAAGATAGTGATGGGGGACTTCGTCAATGATATGTAAGTTATGAAAAGCAAAATTGAGTTTCTTTATAAATTATTGCCCATTCTATTCATTTAGTTTTTAGAACAGGCGGAGAAATTACTTCTCCGCCTGTTGGTAGTCTGTGGTAGTCAAATGAAATCGTTAGAGATTTCCACAATTAGAAGTTTAATGAGAGGAAGCTGCGTTAGATATAATTAAAAAGGTGATGCGTTGTTTTAAATATCCCTTACTTTGTATGGGCATTAGGTATTTTTGGAAGCAGGCAAGATGAAAAATGAGCAACGCCTTCGCCGGGAATAGAACCGCGGACCTCTGGAATACGCACCCAGCGTACAGGCACCACACCACGAAGGCATGCCAAGAAGGCGGGAGACATACCTTATATACTCCCCCTTTTAAAGGGCTACTGGGGTTTTTTAGGGAACCCAATCGCAATGAACGATATTTTTCAGAATTATATTCTTTAGTCCTACTTAAGAAAAAAGAATGAAAAATCGGATTGAAAAATTGCCATAAAAAGAAATATATGGATAAATAAAAATCTCCGAAATAAATCTAAAAATTTATTACTACTTAATAAAAATTTATTTTGATAAATAACTGTTCTAAAGTAACATATAAAACTCGAAAAATTAGCTAATACATAAAAAAATTCAACAAATTATTTGTTTTCGTATAAAACGAGTGAGTATTTGATTAAAATTCATCACTAATCCTTTTATCTCTCAGGAAGAACAAAATCTTCATGGGCGTGTCTACGGCATTCCTTATTGGACTCAATCTTTACTTCGTGAATGACTTTGTCTCGTCCAACTTCGCTCATAACTGGATCGTTCGCTTGAGTTTAAGTATTTTCCTCATCTTTTATCTATTATTACTGGTGTATCTGGTGAGTATAATAAATATATTATTTTTTTTACTTATTTTTATGCCTTTCATCTAATAATCAAAAAATAATTAAAATGACATATTATATAGTACATATATTATCGTTTCGTGATGTTTATCATAACATTAAATTTCAAAAATGACTACTTACAGTTTTTAGGCAAAGTATGAAATATGAGAATTCTTATATACTTTATCACGGCATTGTATATAACGACTAGGCATTCTATAGAATGAAAAATGCTCTTTAGACAAAGTATTGTTGCGTGCGTACGGCCTCGTAAAGATTGAATACACACAGCTCCGATGATAGGTTGATAAAATTTATTTTATCAGATGAAAGAGTTCAGAGTTCTGCAACTTTTCACAAAAGTATTTGTCCAGCTCTTCACAATATCGCAGAATACAATCGGCAGTTACACTTAAAACTACCAAGAACGTTAAACACACGCAATGCAAAGCTCATCTAAAGAGGGAAGCTAACTCGGAGATATCTCAGTAGTCAGTCTCACACTGAGCTAACAACTCTCAACAACAACAGCTAAGAGCAGATGATCTCTCCGACTTTTTATATAGTTTTCACCCACCCTCCACATATTTCTAGTACTTTCTGCTTCTCGAAATTACTGGAAGGCAATATGAATGTCGAATTACGGTGGCAGCTAACATAATGACCAATTAACATTTTATTCAATTGTAATACCTATTACGGAGATACAGAGATCGAATCAAAATGGTCGCCAAGTTTGGCAAGTTTTGGCTATTCCTCGCCAAATTTGCGAGACAGCCATATACTCAAGGTTAAATAGACTTGCCCTGTATTCTTACTTTTCCGAAAACCTTCGCTTCTTCAGATTTTCATATTACATTATGCAAAAGAAATACAACAATTTTATATATAATTTCACTAAAATTCTCCGTACAAGTACAAAATTTGTAACAGTACTAATAAAAGATCACGATTGCGCTATTATATAAAAGGCTTTCATTCCTCATCATTACATATGTTATTTTGAAAAAGTAATGAAAGAATGCCACTAACAAATTTAAAAGGAAAGTTGTACGAAAGACAGCAAACTTTTTATATAAAAGATTATAAATTAAAATTAACGTATTCCCTGCAATAAGGTAGGCTAAAATGACACTTTGAATTTACTTCATTAGACGTTTCATATTTTGACACTTTGTTTTACATGTACACTTGTCGAATCCTTGGCCTCTTCCACTGGACTGAGCAATTACAACTGACCAGAGAGGAATTTCGTGGTCAGGAATATCTACAATTCTAATCGTTTTCTTGTTATTAATTTTAATCATTTTGTCTTCTAAGTAAATTCTTAGAACACAAAATGAAACGTGATCTCGCATATAGTTGTTTTAAAATTCTTTTAGAAGTTCCGGTAGAAACTATCCTCTATCACATTCTTTACACCTGCCAGTATATTATTATACATGAATTATTACATACTTTCCATAGGCATTGTATATAATATGGATATGTGTTTCACTTGCCGGTTTGTCATTTGGCATTCTACAAAATGTCTAGGCAATGTGAAAAATTTTTAATCGTTTCATACACTGCCCGCCAGTTTTCGGCCTAGGTATTCTATAGCACGCCGGGGTTTCATACTTTGCCGGTAACATATACAGGGAGTTTCAGCAAATCGGCTACAAACTTTCAGGAGAGATAGAGTACACCTAGAGGATGGAAAAACACACAGCAATGCATGATCCAAACGGCTTTCCAGGCGTAGTAGTGACAACACAAAACACAAAAAAGGAAGAACATGAATTGGGTGAGGAAACACGTTCATTGTGCTTATTACAACAGAAAATCAAGAAATAAGAGCAAAGACAGTAATGATCGTCATCAAAGGTATTCGAAATTACGACCCCGAACCCTGATGCAGGCCACATATCTCCGAGACACGGAAGATACGTTCTGAAAAATACCGGGCATCTCCCGGACTTCCCCAGCAGCCGCCACGATGTTCACGATGTGCCGCCGCCATCAAGTTCCACAGCACTTCTAACGGTGGTTTCGTACCTAGTGACTTGACGTACTGCCAGAGGAAGTGGTCACTGCAAATGAGGTCTAGCGATCGTGTTGGCCAGTGCACCGGACCACACCTGGATCCCATGTGGAGGATACATTTCGAATGTAATTTCGAACACTTTCTTTGATGACGATCGTCTGTTTTTGTTTTTGTTTTTATTTCTTGGCCTCCGCTGCACTAAGCATAATATACGCATATTCTAACTCTGTTCATTTCCTTCCTTTCTTGTGTTTTGTGTCGTCACTACCGCGCCAGGAAAGAGTTTCCTTCCATGCATTAATATGTATTTTTCCATCGTCTTGGTTTGCTCTATCTCTCCCGAAAGTTTGTAAGCGATTTGCTCAAACATTTTGTATATTTCTTAAATGTGCAAACTAAGATTTCTTCAAGAGATGTTCAACTTACCTTTCAGTAGTAAACCATCTTTTACGAAGCTGCCTGATCGTCACTGTCTGTTATAAGGGATTCAGTTCTAAAGCAGCCAAAAAAGAAGAAAGAAAAGAATATAAGTTTCACAACATTACAAAACAGAAGCTTACTTTTCAACAACATTTATGTAGTATATTTAAGAAAATTTTGAACAGAAAACAAGAGATATAAAGCTAAATAATTCATTATAATGTTAATTGTTATGTGTATACCATATAATTTACAATAATATTACGCAATGATTGCCACACACAATACGCTAACATCAGCAACTAAGTAACTGATAGCCAAAAGATTAATACATATTTAAAAAGTAAAAACCCTCGAAGATGCAGCCAAAAGTTAAATTGCTTTTATTCGCATCAGAAATATAGTAAACATGTATATAACAAAAGATAATAAAAAGAAAAATCAAATTATGTTAGTAGAAATTCATAAACAGCAGAATAAAATTCAAAACAACTAAACAAACTGAATGCTTAAGTTAAGCCATTTTATGTTTTGCATACATTCCATATTTATATCTATTGTTTTAGTTTTCAGATAATTCAAGAAAATAAATATATGTTACATAAAATTAGCAAAGCGACAGCCTTGTGTTTGGCGTAGATTTAGTCAAGAATTCAATTCGTTTCGAGGGCAGACAGGTAGAGGTCCTCCTTCATCAGAAGCAAAGAAATTTGCAAGACTGTTTGCCCTCGAAATCATTTGATTTCTTGACTAAATTTATGCCAGACACAAGGTTGTTGCTCTGCTCCTTTTCTGTTTCACTTTGGTGTGTTTCTCTTCTGTTTGGAAATAATGTCATTTTTTCGTCATTTATTCCCCCAGTTCATTCCTTCTTTATTTCCTCTCCCCCTTTTTATTCGTAACTTTTTATTTTCGCATAGAACACTGTAAAAAGAGATGAACTTTCCATAAGTAAATTTCAAGAAAAAAGCCTTAAGTGATATCACGAATAGGTGAATCTTTACATTATGGTAACTTAACGATTTTTTGGCGAAAATCTGGCGACCAACCCTGCTACAGCAACTTGCTAGTTTTGTTTTGGACGCCATTTTGTTTTCACGAAGTAAAGGCATGTTTCTTTCTTTCTTTCCTTTTTTTCCTTTTTTTTTTTTTTACTCAACATTTTCCCCAACAATCTGCTAGCCGAATTACGCTTATACAAGAACTTTTATGGAACAAAAATGCTTAACCATGACGAAGATTAGGTGCGAAATTGGGAGAAAGTGCAGAATCGCAAACTGCTTGCCGCGTTTTTAAGAATTGCACATACACAGTATCAATGTACACGTCGACCTATTTTCACTTAAAAAAACATGTCAGAATTGCACAAAAATGGCATTGCGCACACTCTTGATTTTATCTATGTACACATCGACCTATTTTCAATTAAAAATCCAATTCTTCTTACTGTTGTAAAAAGCGCCAAACAAATAAGTGGGCGATTCGGCACTTTAGCAGCGAAATTGTTTCTAAGTGCAGCTAAAATCACGATCGGAATTTTCCGGAAAATGTCACATTACATGTCTCATGATCGCTCATTTCTCTGAGACAAAATAATCTGATTCAAACTGTGTATTTCTCAGATTATTGCTAAAGTCCTAGCTAGTAACGTTTATCGCCTTACCAAAATGTCGCCAAACTACTTGTTACCATATTCTAAAGATTAGCCCACAATTCTAATCAGCAATAAATTTGACTGATTCTCGGTAGCGAACAGTATCCTTAAAAAATTCAGAAAATTATCGGCACTGATATATTTGTTTTCATTTAAATACCTGAAAGAGTACGAAAGTTATTTTTCATTTGAATAATTTCCTATCAAATAGCGTTTTATTGTTTTCTGTTGAAAAAGCATGATTAACAGATAAAATAAATTAACAAATAAATGTAGTAATAAAATCTAACAATTGTTCTGTACCAAAGAAGTTAATATATATGTCATACGAAACATCTTTTATTGATTGAAATAATATTGCAAATGTTATTAAAATTTATCAGTTAACTTCATTATAAATTGAATCAATTAAATGTATTATAAGTTATATCAATTTGATATAATCTCTATTATTAAAAAATGAAGATCGCGAATTAGTCGTCTTGTGGAAAGACGGTGGTATCTAAAGCCCCCAAATTTTGAACACACGTAATCTTGTACCCAAATATATGCATCTGGAAGTACACGAAAAAAGTATTAGCCTTCTAACTATTAAATTTATGCATTATCTGCTTATAAGAATGTATGGATTTTAGCTTAAAACAATAGCATTTCACCCAGCATTACAAATATCAGCACACACTATGGAGATTAGTATAGATGGAATAAGCATGACGTCACTAAAGTGAAGAAAAGAAACGTTATCAAAGTGACGTCACGACTTATCATGGCCACCGTACAACGTACGAATAATATTACGAAACATATTGTTAAATAAAACTAGACTGTCTTCAGGCTCAGCAAAATGTCCTTAAACATAATTTGCATAAAATACCATTGAAACTTTCAGTGGTTTTCTAGGTTTTACCATCTATACATTTGTCTTATAATTACGGTTCACACATTTTCATGTATCTAGATTTTATTAAATTTGAAAGTTATTTCCAATCCTTGTGATTTTTCTATGCGCTATGTAGAAAATTATTTGTGTTAAGAATTACTATTAGAACAGGAAACGTTCAATAACGAATAGCTGACATATAAACAGCACTGATTAGAATGTAAACAAAACCAACCAGAAGTCCGCCTAGTCGGAGATGATAAGTCGTTACGTCATACCGTGACGTTTGGTTTGGTAATGGATTTCCTGCCGCAAAACCTTTACGGTTATATGCGCCGAAAACATGTCAGAATTACCCCAATTAAAAGGCCATAAGTACAACATACAATCAAGAACAAGTGTAAAACAAGAGCACACTTATAAAATCGAATGAAAAGAAAAAAATAGTGACTTCTGAAATAAACTAATGCATAAAATTGACATGCTTTTCCAATATGAAGCATGATTAAAAATCAAAAAGTATGACATATACCTCTGTCTTTCAGGCATTCAAACAGATTCAGGCATTCAAACATTCAAACAGACAACTATTACAGCTTGAACGCACGGACAGAACAATATTACATTTTGAACAAATATGTTCACTCTCGGCCTTTAAAAGGTAACTATGTGTAACTCCAGAGTGACCATTCCTTAAAACATCTTAATAAGACTTCCTCCCGTTCCTGGTGGTCTTCCAGTCCACTATTTTATGTTTGACCCTTCTCAATTTATTTAGTAAAATTTGACTATACCAAAAGTGACTGCCATTTATTTAACATTCTTTGTCTGCTTGATGACTGTTTTAATATCAGTGTAGCTGGTTTGATAAAAAAAAAGTAGTAGATTTAGCTGTTATATCTGCCACCTCGTTTCCTTTTACACCAACATGGCCAGACACCCAGCAGTAATGAATCTCATACCTATGGCTTCTTAATTTTTGATGTAATCCTAAAATGTCCGCTAGCAAAGAATTCCGGTAGTCAGAGAAACTAGCTAACGCTTTTAGAGCACTTAATGAGTCAGAGCATATTATAAATTTTTTCTGCAGTTGCTTCGAGATGAATGTTAAATCAGAATACAGAGCAGTCAATTCAGCGCTAAATACAGAACAGGCATCGTGCAATCGTTTACCCGTCAGTATGGTCTCTTATTACGAACGACGCACCTATATAATCAGCTGATTTTGACTCGCCTGTTATCGGAATAAAAGCACTGTACTCATCTCTATGTTCGAAAAAAAGTTGTCTGTATATTATCTCAAAAGTGTATATTATCTCAAAAGTATTATATCACTTATCCAGATGCTAAAACATATCCAGAAGCTCAATTTGTGGGAAACCCCATGTCCCAGAAATGCTCAATTTGTGGGACATTTCTAGCTGCTTTACAGGTTGGACCTTCGCATCAGGTAAGCAGTAATTTTACAATGATTCACATCTTTCGAAAAACGAGAGAATGTTAAGAAGCCGCGCAGGAAATAGAAGTTTGTAACAGTTATTAAGCTTAGAGATTGGGAAAAATCCGCCTAACCAGTATAGTGATTAGTGTCGCTGACTGCCGTGCCGAAGGGCCTGTGTTTGAATCTCGGAGAAAGCATGGATGTTTGTAAATGTATAGTGGCGGCACTTTAAATATGCGGCGAGCCGAAAGTCCTCTCGTGTGATTTAGTGGAAGGGGAGAAGGGTGGAAGACCCTCGGACTCCTTCCCCTCGGGGTGCTCTCCATTAAAATTGGGTGCGGAACTGAGCAAAACTGCATTATCACCTGAGGTGCTCAAGGCTGTTGCCAACGAAAGTCATAAAACTAGCGCTCTTTGCCACGAGGTATTCGTGGGCTTCGGCTAATGTTACGGTCAGACAAGTGAGCAGAAGAAACAACAACAGAGATTTGAAGAGCATGGCTTGGTTGTGAATTAATAATGGAATACTGATGAAGAGACAATAGTTCACGCCTTAACTGAAGTGATGGTTCATAACAAAACACGTACAGGCTCTGTATAAGAGATGTTCTAAATGCACCAGAAGAAATTCTCAGAACCTGATGATGAGTAGGATGTAGTTTTAGTAAAACAGGAGGCCGGGCTAATATGTAAAATGCTGAGCCATAATCTATTCTTAAGCGAACTAGCGCTCTGTAAACGTGAAGCAATGAGATACGCTCTGCCGCCCCAGGAGGTGTTCGCCAGGACTCTTAAAAAAGATTAAGCATTTTGAAACATTTTTCCCTCAAGTACATAACATGTAGAAAGAAGGTTAGTTTGGGATCGAATAATCACTCTTAGAAATTTTACTTCCCCTACAACTGGAATCAAAACCGTGACGTTTCATGGCTTCGTTTTCATTGCATGATTTCATTTATTCTAACCTTCTTGAAAACAAACCACTAGTTTATACTTTACGCTTTACGCAAGTATGTTGTTTACATATTTTTCACCATATAAGTATTTCCAACATGTGTATCAAATTGTGGTTGAATTACTCCCGCTTTCCTTTACAGTATTTGTTACATGTCATTTTTCTACTTTACAGGCTCTTTGTCTTTTCGTAGTACTGGGAATAGGACGGCTAACAAGATTACCAGTAAGTGTTTTAAAATGTGCCTAATAAATATTTTTTGTCTTGAGACTGAATTAAACATTAATTACAAAATTTAACTCTCACCACTGTGATATCGAAAGGGCAATACAACAGACAAAATGCTGTTTCGTCACTAAACCTACTAACCTAAAGGGGCGTTAGCCCAGAAGAGCTATTAGTCTCGGAACGGCATTTTGGTCGTTTCACAGTAAATGTCCATTACATTTTTTTAAATTGTTGCCACCAAATATTACCACCCTGTATTATATTTAAAGAAATTAAATAATGAAGAATCTCAGGGTTCGTACACATTTCTGCACACGGAAATTAAGTACTT